TCCTGATGACAGGCCAAACAGGACAGCTACTAGCTCCTGCCCTTGTGACTTCCTGAATAAAATAAGAACCTTTTATTATAAGACAAAGCACAAGTCGCATACAGATCCTTACGAGGCACTTGTTCACAATAGCCGTGATATAGGATGGGTGTCAACACGCACACGCAGACGCACACAGACATGCACAGTTGGGTGATTTCAGGGAACAAAGCCGCCTCCAGAAGCTCACTGCTGAGAGAGCAGGTGGGTCGACTGGGATGGTAATAACATTTCAAGGCTGATCCACAAGAACTCTAGTGCTATTCACTGCAGAGCATTTTTACCTAAATGTAACTACAGAGTCAGCTGAACTGCAGAATGAACCTTCATCTTCTATCATGCAGACTTCATAATGCTGCCCTGCTGGTCCATGCACACACAACAAACCCACACCACAGACATGATTAAAACATCCTTTCAGCAAGGCTCTCTCTACACACACACATAAACACACTTACCCCTGACACAGACTCACTTTGTGAAGGATCCCCACCCACACAACCACACTCTCAACTCTGTACGACTTTATTGAGGTCACACTGCTTTTGTAGATTAACACACACACACTATCACACAGAGCCATTATTACTCTGTGCTTTTATCTCTCTCAAGAACAGCTGAGTCGGAGTGTAGTGAGCCATTAGTAACACACACAGTGACAACAGTACATGCGTTTGTTATTGTCCACGGTGGTGACATGTTGAAAGGCTGAATATATGTGTGTGAGTGTATTCACCCACACTAACCGCAAAGGCCAAACGGTATCAATTACAGACACTGTGTGCATAACATCTATCTATCTATCCATCCATCCATCCATCTATCATAAATACTTTCAAATAAACTTTATTAGATTTCGTGAAAATGACGCCACAAATGTGCAACAGCTGTTTTACTTTAGAAACTGAAATTCACACAATAAATATAATTTTTTTATCTAAATGTAATCATTTATATTTTTTATGGATTTTTAAGATTAAAAGTATAGAAACATCTATACAAATAGGACATTTGAATGGTAAAAAAAAATATGAAGGCATTGTAAAAATGTTCAAGATAGTTTTAATGTGACGTTTATATAACAAACAGTTGTCAGTACAGTATTTACACAGTTTAAGGGGTCAGTAAGATTTATTTAATTAATTATTGAAAAATGAATAGCTTTTTTTCAGCAAGAATTCATTAAATTAATCAAAAGTGACATTAAAGACTAATTATTCATTTAATTGTCATGTACTTTTTAGAAATATGTATATTTAAAATGACACTATGCTTGTGCTCCAGCTTTTGACCGAGCTTGATGATAAATAAGCTCGATCGAATGATATATGCTTAATATTAAACTTTTACACTAAAATGAGCCAATTTAGTCACAAGTAGTATTGAAATGTACAGTACTAGTATACTTAAAAATATGCTTGAACTTTACTTAAGTACACTTAATAAAATTAACTTTAAGCATACTTATTTTTTGTAAGGGATTTCATATACACTGACACATTGTAATCCTTTCCTAAGTCAAATTAAACCAAATTCTGTTTTTAAATTATAGTTATTGTTTCTGTGCCTGTTTTCCATTTGTATTGCAAATGTTCTGTTAAACATTTTGGGAGAATCCCTTTGTTAAGCTGGCAGAGAAAGGCTGTAATTCAGAGAGACTTCAAAGTGCTGCACACACCCTTCAACACTAAAGACTCATTTAAAAGTTCTTAACTGACAGGTACACTGCCCCGTTTCTCTTTCTTTCTCTCTCTCTCTCTCTAATCTCTTTCTGACATTCCAAGGTATTTCTTTAACTGACATCCCCTCAGAATTATATTAATACATGAAATGTTTTTGAAGACAATACATGCACCTCGATGTGTGTGTGTGTGTGTTTGTATTTGTGCTGACAGCTTCAGAATAGAGGCTTCTCTTTGACTGAAGGCTGCGTATATTTGTGGACTGTCACTGTTACAGTTTTGACTGATACAGGCCTTCAAATTGATACAGTGAATAAGTGTCTTGTTGACTCAGAGGCTTTAGGGATTGGAGGATTTAACGCAAGTGACACTCTTTAAGATACATACTTCAGCATGCCGTGCAGAAGAAGATCTGCGTGTGTGCATAAGTGCTCCGCTGACCCATGTTAAAACCCACTCCCTAAGCACCTTTCACAGCTTTACTTTATTACGGTATATAACACCACTCACACGCCACTACAAAGACCCGATGACGGGTTTTGACACCCACAGCAGAATTACAGAGACACTTCATGGTTCACATGTGGGACAAAAGGCTTCAAAATGTTGCTCTATCAGCCACACGCAGACTAAAGTTACAGGCCTTCAGTCAAACCTGAATCCTCTAATTACTGGAGCTCATGAGGTGATAACATATGTGCTTGTGTGCGTGTTCGTGACGGCTTAAAGAAGGACAAATTGGGAAGTACTTGTCTTATTCTGTCAAGTGATGAAAGACAGCATTGGCACTCCCTGAGGAAGAGGGAATGGAGAAATGAAGGGATTAGAAAGAAATGAAAGAGTCCGCGAGCACTAAACACTTGATTGTGCGTGATGGCTGCGGGCCTCTGCCCATCATCAAAGCTCAGTAATGTGTGTATGTAATTACTGTGTGTTTAGTAAACAGGGATGCGGCTTTCCTTTGTAGCTGAAGGGGGCTTTGTGTGCCGATGTGTGTCAGTGTGTGATTTACTGATACCCACGCAGGTTACCAAAAGTTACATGCCAAAAATAAAATGATATGATGTACTGTATATCTATTTCTCCAAACCCTTTCTGAAAACACATCAGAAAAGGACACCCACAAAGTATAACTCATTTGTTTTTTTTGTTTTTTTTTCCCGTGACAACAATTGAACAATATCACACACGCAATATTGTTTGAATATCTAGCTGCATAATGGTATTCACAGCCGTATTGATATTACTTATATTGGTTACTCATATAAGTTCATATTGAGCAATTTACATTAATTTAGACGCATTAATATTGAAAATTTATCGTGACGAATTCAAGCTGGAAACATAACATGTAAGTAGCCTTAAAAAAAAAATATATATATATATATATATATAGAGTGAACAATAAACCCAAACAACTATACATCTAAATTTAAAATGATAAAAATATTATTTTATATCATTTATAAATGGTATCAAAGATAAAAGTTTATAACAAAGCAAATCGTGAAAATTGACTGATTCATTTTACAGAATTCTCTACGGACTTTCTGCTCACCGATCTATAGCCCATATATACATTATAGATATTATTTTTATCATGGGTCAGTGTTTTCACCATTTTTTTAATTGATCCGCCTCTTCCAATGTCACAATTTGGCAACTTTTATATACGATTTCGCTAGTTCGCTAGGGCACATAATAAACAGACAAGCAGAATGATACACACAGTGAAAAGTTGCATTGCTCTTAGCTGTTGGAACACCACAATCAAATTAAAGGGGCATTCAAAAATGCAAGAAGCAGAGCAGTGAAATAAAAAACTCAAAAAACAAAGGTTCTTGAGGTGCGTTTTAAGCTCTAAGGCGTTACAACGCAGCACTCATGAGAAAGACACTGTAAAAGATGAGAAAAATGGTCAAAACTGTCTTTCTAGCACGTTTACAAAGAAAAAAAAGTGAAACAGTAAAATGCAAAAATACGTTCTGTGTGTCTTGTAGCAGATATAACTTTTTGGTTCCATATCGAGGCCTTCAAAATCAAAGACAAAACTTGGACCGCCTGGTAGCCATTTTTTATATTCATTTATGTTTGTGTCCTCTCGTGTCTCTAGATTAACACACCCGTCAGAGTAATATGTAGAGTAGTATGCACAGGAAAGGGGCCATAGGTGGGATGCTAGTTAATGGCCGTTATTTATTTGCTGGGATGACAGGTTTACAGTGGAACTGCTCCTAAAGTCATTACGGTGCCATGGGGAGGCGTTTTGTACGGTTGGCTACTGTCCCCACCCACAGACGCATTACTCAGCAGCACTATATATATTGACTTTGTTAGTGAGTGCAAATAACATTTAGAGGTCCCTAAATAATAGGGGGAGGGCGATAAACAGAACAAAAAGAGGTTTTGTTATAGTCACCATAAAACATAAGAGATTATGAAAATATATGACATTATGATTTATCAATTTTAACCACAGTAATTGAATGTAGCCGTATCTGCAGCGAGGCATTTTCCTTATATTGGTCAGACCTACAGTACTTTGAAAATCTAGTTCTAACCTAAAGGCAAACTTTTGGACTCATAAAACCCAACACATTTGCATGAAAATTTCTGCCAAGCAGCATGTGTTTTGTCTTGTACTGATAAATATTTCACAGTCTACTGAAAAACCGAAAAAACTGTACTGTGGATTATTAATCAGTTGGTTCTAGAGTTATGGTTTGGGGTCGCTCATTTTATTCACGTTACTTGTTCAGCTAAATGCATTTGCTGCAGTAATGAAAAGAGGAATTAACAAATAATTTTGACATTTGCAATTACAGTCGATTTGAATCAATTACGAAGATGATTTAAAACAAGAAATAACACACAAGCTGATGTATGAACATTTACTACACCCGTCTACATACAACAATTATACAAAACATGCTCTATATACATAAAATTATTCCTTAAAAATATCAACAATAAATAGGGTCTATGCATTAGAAGAAACAAAACACAAAGGATAGCAAGTGTTCTCATGCGCAGCAAAGCACCTGCTTTTAAATCAGTGATAAGCCTTTGAACAAAGCAAATACACACTGAATTCTTGTCAGTTTAACTCAAGTACATATCAACCCCTAGTACTGGTCTGTAGTCTTTTTTTTATAATAATCATGGCTCGAATTTGAATAGGGATTTTTTTTTGTGTGTGTGATTGAAATTACAGCAGGCCTGAATTTATACTATTTGTAAAAAATATAGCCTATGTATGAACAAAAAGTGATGAAAATGTTGATCCGCATAAAACAAACAATGAATAATGTAACTGACAACATGCAAAATGCATGAACAAAGCCTTCAGGCTGATATGACAATATACTGTCCTAAAGTATCAAGAGATAAAGGTGAATGCCAGTGTGTAATCTGAATGCTGATGAGACTTTTCAGATATTCACTGCATATGCGACATTATAGGCAATGTTTCGTGAGCATCAAATAACTGAAATGTTTCAGAAGAGGACACATTTTACACATTCCCCTCCATCCATACATGTGAAACCAATTTCCTAATGTGAGAGATTGAATTTGAAAGAGGTGATGATGTGATTCCTAACGCAAACACACACACACACGCATACATAAGCCTGACTCATATAATAGGCTGAGAATGCTTTTATAAACCAAGTCATCGTTCATCTACTGAACGAAAGGGTCAGTATTTTTGTGTCCTGATGTAAGCTGACATGGACAGTTGGAGAAAACTACACTGTGCAGCAATGTGGGAGGGGACTTTAGTATGTGTGACTAAACGCGTGCAGAAACTGCCTAACCTGATTCAGTCATTGCAGGCTCCAGGCTATAAAGCAAAACACAGCCACTCGACAAGCCCCATCTCACACACGGACCAAAGTAAGTGCTATGAAGTCTGGAGAATGTCACAGAAGGCCAAAAGTGTGCTACGATGAATGAAAGAATAAAAAAAAACCTACACAAATAAAGAGTGGGATCATATCCTGATCCAAATATCAAATTGCAAATCCAAGTCCAAATGTTTTGTTTCAAAACCAACTAAAGCTTGTTTGTTCATTTCAGAGATACACAATGTTCTCCTCTCCATCAGTATCTCTGTTCTCTGTCTCCATGGTAACAAAGGGCTGGTTGACAAGCAGGACGTCGGCTTGAGGAAGCCCCATCCCTGTTCCTTCGGCTGACCAAGATTCTTGGAGATGGCTGAGCTGACCCACATCTGTGAAGACAAATCGGATGTTATTAGTCATTACGTCATCAATAGTCACCTGAAGCACACTAAATCATACCTGTCAAGCAATTGTCAGTGACCTCATAAAATAGCGTTTTTGTTCAGTGTAAACTCTATAAATAGACCAATCCAAAATGAATGTTTAAGAGCAAACAGGTTGAAGATAAGACGATGGGTTGATGATTTATTAAATGAGCAAAAGCAAAAGATGACCCTTTGATGAGGGTTGTCCCTATTCTTTTAATGAGTAATGGGTGTGTTTTGGGCGTAACGTGCAATTAACCAATCAGAGTCTCATCTCCCATTCCCTTTAAAAGCCAGTTGCGCTCGCGCCATGGCGGATTACCTATTTACGTGGCGGAATTTGCAAGCGGAAAAACTGAACGCTTCTCTAGAGAGGAAACGGATCTGTTTGTGGGCAAAGTTAAAGCGCGCGAGCAGACCATCTACGGGACAAAGTGTATGCGCGTTGTGGTCCCACCTTTAGGCGCACATTACTAACGCGCCCTTTAAATAAAAAAAAATACTGCGCCATTGACACCAAATTTCAGTTGGTCAATGGCGCAGTCTGTTTCAGCTGCCTCAAAATAGCAACGCGCCAACAATGCGCCTGAACACACCTCTTTTTCAGACCAGCATGCCCAAGGTTGGACAAATGGGCGCAAATGCATTTGCTATTTAAACAACGTGGTGCAGGACGTGAAAATGATAACTGCGTCAGGCTGAAACTAGCAAAAAACACTTGCGCCGGGTGTATGATAAAGCCCTAAGACTTTTTCACAGTACTGTATTTCCTCACAAAAGCGGAATATGAAGCGTAGTGAAGCCTAGCCTCTATTGACATCTATTAAAAAAACGGCCTCTTGTTTCCTTCTCTGCGTACCGCTGTGTTACGCTTTTTTCTGGCTAAGGTTGCAGGCTTGCCTTCAAGTGGCTTTACTTGGTTGAATCAGTTGAATCAGGTGCGTTTGATAAAGGGGACATGCAAAATGTGAAGTTTTGGTACTCCAGAAACATGGTTGGGAACCACTGCTATATAGCAAGTCTTATACTAGCTTCGTGTGAGGAACAGATTGAAATTTAAGACTGCATTCATTGATGGTCTTCCTATGTGTAAGGTACAGACCAAATTTTGAGGCCATCTATTTTCATTGTACTGTATGGAGCACAGAAGCTTCTTTTGTGTTTCACCAAAGAAAATAATAAGGTGTTGGAACATTTTTGAGCAAACTATTACCTTCATATTCATGTTGCTGCATTAAAAAAATCTAACCCACACAAGGGGTACCTCAAGTGCTATCACATGTCATTCACATTCATGTGATGTTGTGAATGAAACTGATGAATCCTTCTAACATTTAATTACCAGCTTCTCAACAGGGACTATGACCCAGTTTCATTACCTTCATTCAGACTGTAGGATGTGTGTGTATGTGAGGTAATGTTGTTAGCTGAGCACTGTTTGAACAGTGAAGGTCAAACAGTGACTATTGTAAGGCTGTGGTCTTGACCTCTGAATAAACAGTTAAACAAAGCAGTGTTATAGTCATGTTGATTTAACAAGCACTTCAATCAAGGCTTTCATATATAGAGAGATAATGGATAATGTGAAGGACAGGTAACAAATGTTCAATTTTGAAGGTAGACTATAAGGAGATCTTGTTTTTCAGTTTAAGCCTGTGCATGCGTCATCAACATAATCTTTTGTGACCCTAGATGTTTATGATGTAATTCACTTGAGGTGTCATATCAACAGGGGCAAACTGCATTTTCAATTGCTTCAGAGCTTTAGTGGATTCTTTTTTGTTGTTGTCTGTCTTTGTTTGGTTGCCCCAACAAAACCTCCAGATAAAGTGGTCCAGTACAGGTATTTTTAATGTTTGAAAGTCTCTTATGTGAAATATTATTACAATTCAAAATAAAAAAATATATATATTTTAAGATGTGATTTTTGCTTGTTACAGCAAAGCTGAATTTTTAGCATCATTACTCCAGTCTTCAGTCACATGATCCTTCAGAAATCATTCTGATTTGCTGATTTGACGCTGAAGAAACATTTCTTATTATTATCAATGTTGAAAACAGTTGTGCTGCTTAATACGTTGATATGTTTTTTTCAGGATTAAACATTTCTTTCAAAAATAAAATAAAAAATTATATATATATATATATACACACACACACACACTCACCTAAAGGATTATTAGGAACACCATACTAATACAGTGTTTGACCCCCTTTCGCCTTCAGAACTGCCTTAATTCTATGTGGCATTGATTCAACAAGGTGCTGAAAGCATTCTTTAGAAATGTTGGCCCATATTGATAGGATAGCATCTTGCAGTTGATGGAGATTTGTGGGATGCACATCCAGGGCACGAAACTCCCGTTCCACTACATCCCAAAGATGCTCTATTGGGTTGAGATCTGTGACTGTGGGGGCCATTTTAGTACAGTGAACTCATTGTCATGTTCAAGAAACCAATTTGAAATGATTTGAGCTTTGTGACATGGTGCATTATCCTGCTGGAAGTAGCCATCAGAGGATGGGTACATGGTGGCCATAAAGGAATGGACATGGTCAGTAACAATGCTCAGGTAGGCCGTGGCATTTAAACGATGCCCAATTGGCACTAAGGGGCCTAAAGTTCCCTCTTTTTCCTATTTGTAGTGGAGATGAGTGGTACCCGGTGGGGTCTTCTGCTGTTGTAGCCCATCCGCCTCAAGGTTGTGCGTGTTGTGGCTTCACAAATGCTTTGCTGCATACCTCGGTTGTAACGAGTGGTTATTTCAGTCAAAGTTGCTCTTCTATCAGCTTGAATCAGTCGGCCCATTCTCCTCTGACCTCTAGCATCAACAAGGCATTTTCGCCATTCTGACATTCAGTTTGGAGTTCAGGAGATTGTCTTGACCAGGACCACACCCCTAAATGCATTGAAGCAACTGCCATGTGATTGGTTGATTAGATAATTGCATTAATGAGAAATTGAACTGGTGTTCCTAATAATCCTTTAGGTGAGTGTATATGTTGCTTGTGAAAATCTGTATTTTGCCTGAATAAATGCCCATCAATGGAGAAAAATGCTACTACCAGCACAGGCTAACTGAGCCATGTCAACCAGCCAAACTGACCTGAGTGCAACACTCATCAGATGGTGTCAAGACTGACATACGCTGCATCCGAAATCGGATACTTTCCAACGATATAGTATGCGAAAAACAGTAGGCCAATAGAATACAAAGTATTCGAAAAACAGTAGGTGAAAAGACCCTGGACGACCTACTACTTCCAACGCGATTCTGAAGTGCGCATTTGCTGGACACTTTACTATCCCATGAGGCCACGGGAGAGGATTTGTGAATAGTAGTGAAGTGGCGCGACAGTTTTTAATGAATTTCATTCATACTACCCATATTCATACTATATAGGACATTCTTTTTTAATTAGGAATGCACCGAAATGAAAATTCTTGGCCGAAACCGAAAAAGAGGAAACCAAGGCCGAAAACCGAAAACCAAAACACCGAAAGAAATTATGCCAATTATTAGTACCATTGCATTTATGGCTATGACTGTGTACTAACTTTACTTAAATCGAGGCATTACAATTGCATAAATTAATATTGAAGTTTCAAAGAATAAATCAATTACAAATTATGCAAATATTTATTTAGCACATTGCAACAATGCACAGTATAAAATAAAATTCAAACTAAAATGTTTAACTTGCCCATTCTACTTCTTGAGGTAAAGTGGCAGGTTTTTCTTGATGAAGAGTAGCTTCTCTACTTTATTAATTATATAAAAATGTTAAACTTGGGCGTCAGACGCGAATTTGCGTCAAACGCGTGAATGCACCAAATAAAATCATTCGCGCGAATGAGGCGAATTCGCGCCTATCACGCCGCGCAAAATGCTTCGTTTGCGACGCAGGACCTCTAGACGCGCGTAAACGCGTCTTTACATTGACTACGGCTGCGGATCCACTTGTCCGTGCGTCACTTGTCGTGCCGCCATCCGCTTTATTCCTATGGGTGACGCCACGCGACTTTAACGCGCCCGCAAAGCATCCCGGGAAGGCGGCACTTCATTTGGAAAAATGCTGCGTGTCAAAAAGCTGGCCGATGCCCATCTTTATACAAATTAATTCCGTTGAACGCGACGCGACTATCCAATAGAAGTAGAGCATATGGAGACGGGGGAAGTCTCTCGCAGGTCCTCTGTTCTAGACTGGCCGCTGGCTCAAAACCACGCCCATAGCGGTAAACTAAGGCACACCCATCAACATACAAATGTGGGGAGGCGTCGCGACGCCACGCGACTGTCGTGTCACAAAAGTGGATTTCTACCGTCAGGGTGCGGATCCACTTGTCCGTGCGATACTTCTGTCGCGCCGCGCTCCGCTTTATTCCTATGGGTGACGTCACGTGACTTTAACACGCCCGCAAAGCATCCCGGGAAGGCGGCACTTCATTTGGAAAAATGCTGCGTGTCAAAAAGCTGGCCGATGCCCATCTTTATGCGACGCGACTATCCAATAGAAGTAGAGCATATGGAGACGGGGGAAGTCTCTCGCAGGTCCTCTGTTCTAGACTGGCCGCTGGCTCAAAACCACACCCATAGCGGTAAACTTGAGGAACGCCCGTCAAAGTACAAATGTGGGGAGGTGTCGCGACACCATGCGACAGTCGTGTCGCAACAGTGGATCTCTACCGTAACGGGTTTACCTTAGTTTACCGCTATGGGCGTGGTTTTGAGCCAGCAGCCAGTCTAGTACAGAGGACCTGCGAGAGACTTCCTCCCGTCTCCATATGCTCTACTTCTATTGGATAGACGCGTCGCGTTCAACGGAATTCATTTGCATAAAAATGGGCATCGGCCAGCTTTTTGACGCGCAGCATTTTTCCAAATGATCGCCGCTTTGCGGGCGCGTTAAAGTCGCGTGACGTCACCCATAGGAATAAAGCGAAGCACGGCGCGACAGAAGTGGCCGCAGCAGCCTCACCATTGAAATCATTCGTGCCAGACGCTCTATTCGCGTTTGGTGTGAATGCACCATCAGATATACTGAAAATACGTCCACACCGTAGACATGTTGCTTCATTGTTTTTGTCGTCACAACATTTCGGCCCTATTGTTTCGGTGATAAAATGCACTTTTGGGCCATTTTCGGCCGAAGATTTTCGGTGGCTGAATATTCGGTGCATTCCTATTTTTAATGGTTGTGATGTAAGTTCAAATTCAAATGTAGTAGCCTACCTGCTTAGACAGTATGCAATTACACGCACATTGGGTAAACATATGTGGTAAATATACACTATGGATATTTATGTTGAAAAAGACTCTATAGATGATAAATCTAGGAAGTGGGACCCTAATCTAGCTAAACATGCACCCTTGTGCACACTCTGTCAATAATGAGAGAGGGTTAATGAGGCAATCAATACACACAGGATACAACCTTTAAAGCAAGTAAATAAGATGTGTTATTTACTGTAGTATACAAGTGTTAAAATGTTCAACAAGTACCTTTAGACATTACAGAGATGAAGTGTATGTGTTTGTGTGTGTGAGAGGGACGATTCATAATGTTAAACAGACAACTCGAACAGCTCATGAGTAAATATCAGATGAATAAGTTTGACCCTCGCCCCTCCTCGCTCTTGTAAGATGACAGGTCACTCGGTAATGAGTTTGGTAAAGATTTTTTAGATCAATGTTCCAATCAGTCTCCGTAGCTGGCGGCCCTTGATTCACACGACACTGTCATCCCGACAGTCAATAGACAGAGGTGCAATTGATCGCTGAGACAGATGTGTATCTGTGCGTGTTTGTACCTGGGTGTGATAGAGTGAGGATGAATCTTTGTTATTAAACACAGATTAACAACACAAAGAAAGCGAATCGACCTAAGCTGCTGCAACACCAGTTTTAATAATGATTCGCAAGTAGATGTGATGAAATCAGTTCTTTCTTTTGCATCTGCGTCTTAGTTAAACGACAAATATAAAATAAAAAAAAGAAATGGCAGAAAATAAAGCCAAACTTGTTTTGTTTTTATTTTATGTTGTCAACTAGCAGAATTGGGCTGGTATATAATGGTAGAAATATGTCAATCATTAGATATTCTGCAATACCATTTAAATTTCAGCATATCCATGACACGGTTTTAAATCAGAAAACTAGCACATACTCTAAAGTGAGTCGCAGATGGGTGTTTCCTGTGTGGAGAGTTTAACGTGTCACACCAAATGTATGGTGCAGGCATGATGTAATTGTAGGTTATTTACGGTTGGCCAAGTAATGTTGCAACAGGTATTTTACAGGGATGCATTATTAATAATTGGATGAATAACATTTAAAGTCTTGTTTTTAACTCAAGTGTTACATAATGTGAAGCTTTTTTTACATTGAGCCAGATTTGATCAGTTTTGGGTCATTAAGATTTTCTTTTTAAAGAACTATTACTTTTATTCAGCAAATGTATTAAATTTAATGAAACCAGTAAATACATTTATGATGTTACAAAAGATTTATATTTCAAATAAATGCTGTTCTTTCTATTCATCAAAGAATCCTGAAAAAAAAATACTACGCATCATAACTGTGTTCAATATTGATAATAAGAAATGTTTCTAATGATTTCTGAAGGATCATGTGACACTGAAGACTGGAGTAATGATGCTGAAAATCCAGCTTTGCCATCACAGGAATAAATTACATTTTAAAATATTTTACAACTGAAAACAGTTATATCAAATTGCAATAATATTTCATAATATTACTATTTTTTACTTTTTAATACCAAGAAATGCAGATATTTGTATATGGGGCTGGAGAATGTTCAGCAAAAATAACTTACAAAATACTCATACTGAGACATAAGACTTGACATATTGTCCACCCATTACTGTCAACACAACTAAGTAACAAGTGATTGCAGTAAAAACATTACCATTATTTGGGCTCTCTGTTAGACTTCTCAGAGGGGTCGAGTACATTGTTCCTCCAGTCCAACTCTCATGCCCTGCAGGAGCATCAGACACTCCAGCAGAGCTCTGTCTGTGGTTGGATCGTGCCAGGAGTGAATTGAGACTGTTCTGAGCACTGGGAGAATCCGAGAATCCTATAGATCCCGAGTGCAGGTGGACAGTCTGATGATGGTGGTGTGGATGATGTTGAAGGTGGATGTGCCGGTTGTTTAGAGAGGGAGACATAAATGCTGCCTCGTTCACAAAAATGGATCCATGCTCGTCCTGATGGTGACCAGCGTCCTGCACGACAAAGATGCACATCACTCACATATCATATCACTACATCATCTACACAATACAACTCAATTATAGTATATACTCCTGCACCTCACTTTCTGTGAAATTTTGCAGGATCGGATCACATGTTAATAACACACAACTTCACACATTTTAAAGTCATGATGACTTAGAACATATAGAAGTAAGCATACTTAAGCTGTTTAATTCTAAGAGTGAGATTGTGGAAAACAATATAAGATAAATAATTAAAGAGAAAAGAAATCTTGTCTAACATAAGTGGACTTTACAGAATATGGTGTATTTTTTTATTTTTTTATTAAATTAGTGTAATCAGGGAACATTAAAGAAGAAAACATTTAGAGGTTAGCCATGATATTAAATTTATTAGCATAAATTATATAAATTTGTATTACCTCCTCCACATTACATCATCAGTCATCCAAAGGCCTTTTCTTTTTTTCCATAGTTTTCTTTTGTGTACTTCATTTGATCACATTTATAAATGACCGTTTTAATTCAGAAAACTGACAACAGAGCCAACAGTATGATGATGTTTTTGCCATCAGACATCATATCCACCTCTTCACCACTCTTCCTGAGCTTTTCCTCATTCATTCAGTTGGTTACATATGTGTATTACATATGCATTTAAGGCCAGACTGAATCATTGACCCACAAGCTCAAAATCACTGTTTTATGCTAATCGGCCCCCACAAATAATACCACAAATAACTTGGACCTGAAGTGGATCTATTGTGTGTATAGTTCATGTGTGTAGGAGAGCCTTACAGAAATATATTCCCCAAAAGGTCAAAGCTAAGATGGTGGAAGATACACACTCACAAGCTATTTAAGTCAATATTTCATTCTGAGGAGGAATCCACGTAACAGCAAAAACAGGATGTGATTTTACCTCATATTCTGGCTGTATTCATAAGACTTCTAAAAGCTGGAGTTTTTTTTTTCTTTTCTTTTACAACTGGACTACAAAAAGCATGTTTATCTGGTAATGTGAAGTTTAATTGCAAATTAAAGCATCATTAGCCTATACAAATGGTTACATAATATTGCGACATACATAATATTCAAAAGTTTGGGGTAAGATTTTTTGGTTTCACTTTATTTTGATGATCCCTTTAACACATTCTCTTGACAATAAGTAATGTTGCCCCTTACAGGTAAATGGTAAATGGACTGCATTTATACAGACCCAATGGCCACCAAAGCGCTTTACAATTTGCCTCACATTCACCCATTCACTCACTCATTCATACACCGACGGGTGACGGCAGCCATGCAAGGCGCCATCCAGCTCGTTGGGAGCAGCTGGGGTTAGGTGTCTTGCTCATGGACACCTCGACACTTGGTCAGGTGGAACCGAGGATTGAACCACCAACCTTCCGGTTTGTAGACAACCCACATGAACCACTGAGCCACTGCCGCCAGGTCTACTAACTCTCATTAGAGTGTTAGTAGAGCATTAGTAGACTGGTGGGTTTATGGTTAGAATAAGTTGACATGTAGTTGCAAAGTTTCTTATAGTCAATAGAATGTCTGTATCCTCACAATAAAGAGTTAGCAGATATTAAGCAGACAGTTAACTAATACTCTAATGAGAGTTAGTTGACACGCAGTTGTAAAATAACTTAGTCAACTGAATGTTCAAAAGGGACCATCAAAATAAAGTGTTACCGATTGTGGCGAGCAGGATGAGGCCGAGGGCCGTGAGAGAACGGGGCTCATCATTGATGATGAGCGACACCTGCGCGACGCACCGGTCTCGTCTCTCTCACAGAGGAGCGGAAGCATAAAAGGAGGAGCGACGACCGTGAAGGACGAGAGAGGACAGGCCTGGACTATTTTTGTTTTGTTTCTGTTTGATTATATTTGGCAGCAGTTACTTTCTGCTGCCTTTACTTTAGTTTTGTATTTGTTTATTTATTTATTAAAAGTCTTTAAATGTTTGCCGGTTCCCGTCTCCTCCTTCCCACAACGAATGGTGTTACATAGATTTTTTTTTAAGCTTTTGATAGAAGTGTGTTATTTGATCAAAAATACAGTAAAATAATGTTTTAATATAAAAAAAACGGTTTTCTATTTTATGTAATTTATTCATGTGATGGCAAAGTTGAATTTCTAGCATTATTACTCCAGTCTTCAGTGTCACATTCTCCTTCGGAAATCATTCTAATATGCTGATTTGGTTCAAAATGGTTGTGCTGCTTAATATTTTTGTGGGAACCTTGTTTATTATGTGATTCTGTGAAAGTTTAAAAGTTTGAATTTGAATGCATCCTTACTGAATAAAAGTATGAATTTCTTTTCTTTTTTTTAAAAAGCTTACTGAAAAAAAAAAAAAAATTCTAACAAGATTTATTCTATGGCCGTCTTACAGTAAATACAACTAATAAAACAAAGTATAAGTAAAACTAGGAAACGGCATAATTTATAATGTATTCGGTATAAGTGAGTCAAACACTGTGTCAGTGATGAATAAACCAAATATATTGTTTTGTAGACCAGTAGAAAGGGGTCACTTGCGCTTCAGCCTAGTTAGTGCTCACGGAACAGGACACAGAAATCTAAGGAAAAGGACCCAAGGTCTAGATAGGACCCAAGGTCTAGATAGGACCAAGGAGCAGGACCGGAGCACAGAACATTTAATTATTTTTATTAGTACAGAATGACTAACGTTTCGACGCCCATGCGTCTTCTTCAGAGTCAATACCTATTATTAAAATGTTCTGTGCTCCGGTCCTGCTCCTTGGTCCTAGCTAGACCTTGGGTCCTTTTCCTTAAATTGTTTTGTAGACTTCATCAGACTTTATCAGTTGTGCAACAATATTACGGCCAAGTTGTATTTTGTAGCACGACACTGCTACTTGTTGAAAAAGTAACTTATTACTGTAAAAACTACAGTGTTTTGAAAACAGCTGAACTACTATCACATACTGAACAATGTAGTCAAGTAGTTTTATTTACTCCCCAACACTGTGTGTCTGTATTTAGTGAAAACTCTACAGAGAAGTTAGCCATCAGATGGATATCATTGTCCTACATCTCGCCCTTGCACTTTCCGATAATTTACAAACCACACCAAAATGAAACATCACTTCCCTGACCTGCAGAATGAAGTACAGAGTTATTTTAATTATTTTGCCTTGGTACGGGCTTTTCAATTATAATTAATCATTAGCTTGTTTATTAGCGCACAGTCAAGAGGTTGAAGCTTAGACCACCTCACACGGCCTAAGACTGATGAGCCATGAATTGCTCTCATTTTCGCAGGTAATGAATCAGAGGCTTAGCTGTGTGTGAGAAACAGGCGTTTGACCACAACTGAATCCTCCCTGTGTACAAGAGGTCGAGGAATGAAATGTTTTCCTCCTTAGTGGACTGCCACACCTGATTTGACTCTGCCTGAAAAGGCAACATTGGCTTTAGACCTTATAAAATTCGTAGTGTTTGGGTGTCTTATTTATTTGTCAAGGCGTGTTTGGGAGGTCTGGTCAGTTGGTTTAATCCAATCATCCAAAAATACTGTTTATCTCAAAAACAGAAAGAGAAAGAGAGAGAAAAACACCACACATAAGGGGCTTTCGCACCAGTTCTAGGAACTAGCCATCAGGGCGGTCCCCCTAGAACTAAATGTTCCCATTTGCACTGCCAGTAGGAACTCGAAGTGGCAAAAGTCATACGTCAGCGACGTCGTTTAGGCGCAGCATTCAACAACGTCAGTAACTCCGTAGCGTAAAGGTTAAGTGCCTGGATTTTGGCGTTGGTCCATCTATCACTGTTTTCCGTGTTCGTGGAGTAAGTACATGCAAACTGTGTGTTTACACGGCTTGTTTCGTATGGCATGCATTCGGCCAATCAACATACTCTTACCTCACTGGTAGTTCCTATTGTGCTGGGTTAGACCCTCCTATGAAGTAGGAGCTAATTTAGTCCTCACAAAAGGCATTCCTAAAACTAAAATTGTTCCCAGTTCCTGCGGTGCGAACATGCCAAAAAGCAGGTACTTCCACCAATAGTTACACGAACTACAAAAATGCTCCTTCAGTGTGAAAGCCAAATATTGTGCGATTTTTGCAGTCGTCCGAGCTCGCAGGCGATTTTTTTCTCTCGGAAGAAATCGTGTGGAAATTGTTGATGCTCGTATAGTCGCGGCTCACATTTTGTGCGAGAGGAATTACGAGCCGAGCCGGGCACACTATGAGCACCTCCCGACCTACCGATAATTTTTAAACACGTTTTAAAAAGGTTCAGGGAGTCTGTCCGATTTTGACCAGTGTATAGGCTGTCGCCTATTGCCAAATCATGCACAACCATGTCATATAGGCTAGATCTATGAATATTTTTATAGCCCAGTGGCTGCAACCCTACAGCATGTGCATACACTGACACACACACACACACACACACACACACTCTAGTAGTTTTTGTTGAAAAGAATGGAAAGAACGGTTACTGAATGTTGTTCTGTGCTTTTCACCAAATCATTTACACACTCGTCTTTTTTTTTTTTTCTATCCAAAGCTATAGCAGGAACATTGAAAGCTCCAGTATGTGTGTTCAGCGAGGAAGCTCGTGCTATTGCCACCAGCTCGCTGTGCAGTACAGTCATGCCGTGTACCAGCAGCTTTGACGCGATCAGGTGACTCGTAACGCATGCAATGACTCAGGACCTCCCGAGTCTCCGAACGCGCAAAGTGTACGCCCGCCTTAAATATAACACTTTATAAAACAGTAATTAGTAGGTATAGGTAATTTTATTTTTTGTAAAATTTAGGAAACATATACACATACACTACAGTTCAAAAGTTTGGGGTCAGTACAATATTTTATTCAGTAAGGATGCATTAAATTGATCAAAAGTGACAGTAAAAACATTTATAATGTTCATAACGTGTCAGAGATTCATGAAAAAAATGTGTACTGTATCATGGTTTCCACAAAAATATTAAGCAGCACAGTATTTTAAACATTGATAATAAGGAGAAATGTTTCTTGCACCAAATCACCATATAAGAATGATTTCTGAAGACTGGATTTCTGATCATGTGACACTGAAGACTGGCGTAAAAGCTGATGAAAATTCAGCTTTTCCATCAGAGGGATAAATTACATTTTAAAATACCCTGAAATAGAAAACAATGATTTTAAAGCTGCAGTCCGGCGTGTTTCCTCTTTGTCGCCATCTCTGTTCGAAATCTGCAATTGCAGTCATTCGCGGAATTATCAACTTTACGTGAGTTGTAGTTCAACACCCTCGACACGGCACAGCGCGGATTAACACAATGTTTGAGGAGAGTGTGAGGCTGTCAGTCACCGCGCCGGTGTGGATACTGTCATTCAGAATCACAGATTATTCTTTTTGGAAGTAAGAATAACACAAGAATTTTCACCGGAAAATGTCATCTGAACTAGTAAGAAACATCCACTTTTGTTCTGGTTCTGACATTGCAGTAAATCGTGCTGATTAAATATAACAATCGCTTATAAGTTATCACACAAAGCCGTGCAAATTATACTTTGTTCTCAAATTGTTAATGTTAACAATGTAAGCAAGCATTGCGTGACTACATCTTCCGATATATATCCTTGTTTTCGCATGGGTCCGGTTGCAGTCTCTTTTTTTCTGTAGCCACTCCGAAGTCGTTTGAACCTTTCTGGATCCGCCATCGAATTGATAAGTTTAATTATATCAAGTGCTGTGAGAAAAGGCTATAAATCTCCACCTCCAACATCCTCACACACAATATAGCCTACTAGCCGAGACTCCTTTATGTGTATAGGTGTGACGTAATGACGCAAAGACAAGCTCAAATCTCCCGCGGAAATCCACCAGTACCACTGGAATTAAAAACATTATTACAAACTTACCGCTTTAAATCGAGCTAAGGCAAGCAGATAGTTTTGAACAGTGGCTGGTTATGTATTTTCTCAAATATGTATTTTGGATAATTTTTAACCCAAAAAAAGCTACGGACTGCAGCTTTTATTTCACAATATTACTGTTTTTACTGTATTTTGATGAAATAAATATAGCTGTGGTCAGCATACGAGACTTCTTTCAAAAACCGTTAAAAAAAATCTTACTGACCCCAAACTTTTCAATGGTACAGAGAGAGAAAGAAGAATGCAAAAACAGCTGAAAAATGTAAGGAACAGAAAGAAAGAAAGAAAGAAAGAAAGAAAGAAAGAAAGAAAGAAAGAAAGAAAGAAAGAAAGAAAGAAAGAAAGAAAGAAAGAAAGAAAGAAAGAAAGAAAGAAAGAAAGAAAGAAAGAAAAAAAGAAAGAAAGAAAGAAAGAAAGAAAGAAAGAAAGAAAGAAAGAAAGAAAGAGAAGGAGAGAACGAGACAGAAGGGAATTACATGACCAAAAAAGAAAGCAAATGGGGTCAAGAAAAACAGAAAATATAGTTTATCTGCCTTGAATTCATAACTGACAGTTTTGTTCCATCTTCAAAGTCAGATGAGAGAGGATTTGGGAGTGCTATCCTCTGACATCACTACCTGGGTGTTTTGGCAACAGAGTAAAGGAGGAAAGAGCAGAGGAGCAAAGAAATATGCCAGCGTTTAGAAGGCAGCTGTGTCTCCAGACTCACGCTGTGCACAAAGGCTTTTATGACATTCCCACAGCTCACAACTACAGCTTTTAGGAATATTTCAAACACACACAAACAGATACGAAGAACATGCATATACAGTATAGACGCATATGAACAAACAGGCAGAAACTACAATGACCCTAAAGCGAAGCTGCCTTAGTGGCACTGTTGGCAGTTCATCACAGGAAGCAAGAGAGCTGCAGCCTCCTCACAAATTATTCTAAATTAAACTACTTTCAATTAATGTGCATAACACAAATGTATAAAGGTGTTTTAAAGTAGATTCTCCTATGTGGTATTCTAAGCAAATTCAAATCATTGGCACTTTGTCAGATTTCTCTGGCTTTTGTACAAGTCTTCTCTGATGTGCAAATTGACCAACCAGAATATGAATGACAACAAGTTTCTTTCAAAAACATGGCTAAAAGGCAAAAGATGATTTAAAATTTGCAATCATAATCAAGTGCAATAATTAGAGGCAGTTTCTCAAACCTATAGATGTCAAAAAATGATCATACATTTTTGTTAAATTTTTTACTTAGTTTTGAACACAGATTATTTTATTTTTTTGTCCTGGCTGAATAATAGTATTTTGTTTCCAAGTTCTTGTCCAACCCCGAAGTCACTGTGGCCTACAAAATTGACTGATATTCAGAGCTGTCAGGTTCAATTTAATGGGAAATCTCAAGTTTCTGTCATTCCACCTTGCATTTTTACAGGTAAACAGGGGTAAACGCAAATCATCAGATTCATTTACTGACGTAAAAATGTTCATCAGCAAGTAGCAGGTTTGAGCAATATTAAAATCAGCATGAAATGGAAATTGCAATCATCCTGTCTTCCCTACTGTGACGATTTTGTCACATGGGAATTGATTGGATCATTGTCATTTGAGCGGCCTCTAGAGGCGAAATAAAAACCATCACTGACGCCTCGTGGTGTTTGTTTTGACACGTGAGACTGCGCGCTGCACAGAGCGGGACACTTCAGATGCGGATTTAAAACAGACAATGAAACGGTATGTATAGAGTACACTACTGTGCGTGTTTTCATGTCACTATAAAGTAATTAATTTGTTGACTAGATGCAGCATTAATGGAGAACAGCAGCATGTTTGCAGTCAAGGCTGAGGATGCTAACATTAGTACCTCAAGCAGTTAAAAAAATGTGACAAAACCGCATGCAAGCCCAACCCAAATATTTAATGTCACGATTGTTACCATCTATTTGCATTAGTTTATATCCAGCTGGTTGCTTTTTTTGCATTCGATATGCAGGGAAGTTGCATATGTAAATTTAGAGACATGAGAAAGCAAACTGATATGTTCATGCAGCCAGAAACATATAAAAATCAGAAAAGCATTCGCTTTCAGTTCTTTTTTTATCGCCACTGTAACACATATTTAGCTATTTTGATTAGACAATAAAGTGTTCTAAAATAGAAGCAAATAAAGTATACGATTAAACATACAATATACATATGTGTCTAATTTCAATGCTCTGGCCTTTGTGTAGATATTTAAAGCTGGTCATCATTCAGCATGACTGGATTTATATGAAATGGTAACACTACAATAAGATTCCATTTGTAACATTAACTAAGGGTTAGTATTGTTCATTGTAAATATATATTAGTAAATGTTGAAATGAACATGTTAAAGCTGTAACTCTTAACATAAGTTAACGCACAATGAACTAACAGGTTTAATTAATATATTGTTTATATTTAAAAAGTACAGTACATTTTCGTGGTTCAGTACTGTTTTTAAATTTTTTTAATAAAGTTTAGCACTATTTTATGTTTTGTTTTCATTCAGTATCCATTTTTACAAACTATCGGTTGATTAATCGGTTACTGGCCAGGGTGGGTAACAATTTAAGAATTTTCTTAAAGGGTAAGAATTTCATGGTGACTTTAATTTACACATCACACAAACCACCACTGAGTCCGACACATTCCCATCCACTCACTGATCCTACCTGTGTCTGCTGTCCATCTAGTGGTATGACCATGGCGGGCAGGTTCTGCTGGCAGCCATGCTTCAAACTCTCCAGCAGTCTCCGCTGAGTGTCCAGCTTCTCTTTGTCCTTTTCTACACTCCTCTGACCTTCTCGCAGCCTCTCCAGGCTTTGCTGGTACTCCTGCAGCTGCTCATGGAGTTCCTGTCGTTCGCTCTGCAGCCTCCGCTCCTCTAGGTGGCACAACAGCTCCCTCTGCTCCAATGACGTCTCCAGCTCCGACTGCTGAATCTGCCGCACCTGGCACTCTCGGTCCCACTGCTGCCGCTCTCGTACCAGGGTGCCCCGTAGACGGGCCACGTCCGCCAGCTCCTCCCGACGCCGCTCCGCCTCCCGCTGGCGCTCCTGCTCCTGCAGGGCCTGGCTGCTGCGAGCGATGGGCAGTGGGCGGGAGTGTGGGTGAGAGGAGGTGTTTGATAACAGGAGGAGGAGGAGCCTCTGGACTTCATAGCAACTGTCTTGGATGGTGACTGCGGCCTATTCACAAAAAGCGAGAGTATTAATGTAAAGGAGATCAACGGTGAGATACCTTTTATCACTGCTAACAATGGCTCTTATTCTCTAGAATTAGCTAACACCAGTGTGTAGTGTCCAGGCTAAACCATCACTAGGTAGGTAACAACCCTCAATTCATCTGACCTGTATCATCAAAAGGTAAAGTGTGTCTTTTTGGCTCTTTAAGCTACAAGTGCACTACCATTCAAAAGTTTGGGTTCCGTAAGATGTTTTTAAGGAAAATAATATTATCAAATAGAATTATTAATAGAATAAAAATTATCCCTGTTTCCCAAACATATTAAGCGGAACAACTATTTTCAACATTGGTAATAATAAGAAATGTTTCTTAAATCACCACATCAGTATATCAGAATGATTTCTGAAGGATCGTGTGACATTGAAGACGTTGCCACAAGAGGAATAAATTACACTTTAAAATATATTAAAATAGAAAACAGTTATTTAAAATTGTAGTAATATGTCAATATTACTGTTTTTACTGTATTTTTGGTCAAATAAGTTCAGCCTTGGTGAGCATTAGACACTTATTTTAAAAACATAAAAAAAATTATACATTGCCCAAACTTTTGAATGGTGGTGTTGTATATAAATCAACTTACACAAGCCCCATCCACAAATTGCATTTGAGATATGTGTTTTTAAACTCTTCTCTCATGTTGTCTCTAGTGACTTGTTAAATAGAGCTGTTTTTAGTCTTTAACCTGAGGAAAATTGTCGTTTTTAGACACTGGTTCCCTCTGGTATATCTAATGGGTTTTTAGCACAGCAGTTTTCGATTTATGAGTAAAATAAAGTCTGTGGTTTACAATACTTGAAGACATTGAAGAATTACTTCCACGTTTTGTTCTACAACACAAATTACACTTTTAGCAACATGCATTTGAGTTATGATAGTAAGTCTATGCTCAGGTTCAGATTCATGATCAGAGAAAACTGACTTTGAAAACTGTTACATTTTCAATCAAGCTAAACTTTTTTCTCTCTCTCGTGGTTTTAAGTGTTGACAGTTAACCGTTTGGCCTTTATAGAGAAGAACGGTTGGCTGATTTATCAATCATGTAAACATATTGTAATATTTGGGTCAAAAGTATCTTATGCTCAGCAAGGCTGCATTTATTTAATCAAAAAGACAGTAAAAGCAGTAATATTATGAAAGATTATTAAAATTTAACTGTTTCCAATTTTAAAATGTAATCTATTCCTGTGATGGCAAAGCTGATTGCTGCTTAATATTTTTGTAGAATTATTAATACATCTTTTTCAGGATTCTTTGATAAATAGAAAGTTTAAAAGAACAGCATTTGCTGTATATATTTTTGGAACATTATAATGTCTTTACTGTCACATTTGCTGAATAAAAGTATTAATAAAAAAAAACACTGACCCCTAACATTTGAAAAGTAGTAGCTGCAGTCCTTGTGTAGCAATTTGCACATCAACTGTTTTTAAAGCACACAAATTCACATTTGAGGTCTGACTATGTGTGTACATTATGCTGTAGAACTAAAATGTCAAAGTTTTATTTCACTCATGAATCAAACACAGTTATTCTAAAAACCCATTCGGTATTCCAGAGGGAACCCATTGTGAATTAGCCTTCCAGGTTAACCTACAAAATGACATGACTGAGCAGCTCTATTAGGTCTTCCTACTCACAAACAATAAAAATGCATCCAAATCTATGCCTTCGCCATTTCCTAGCTATTTTAGATATCATTGTCAATGTTTTGTAAAAAGAAGGCCAATCTCTTTTAAGAGCCTTTCGCAGGTGGGTCACTTATGTCTACATCCAGCATCACCTGCATTACAACACATCCTATTATACATCCAAACCACAGCGAGTTATATAAGAGATAAAACCACATAGTTGGTCAAACATGTTCAGGCGATGAAACTTAAGGCTTAGACAGAGCTATTACAACTGAGTCATGTCGCGTGTTTATGTGTGTCTGACGTAAGGCCTGTCCACTATAATTATTCTTTCAGTTGGTATGTGGTTGTGTGACATGAGCTCACCTGTAGACTGTACAGCAGCTGAGTCAAGCTCTGCACACTCTGACTCACCTGCATTAAGACAACAAACAATGAGCAAGAAAAAGTGAAGAACTCTAAACCAAAACTAAGACTTTTTTTAATCTGACACATGGAGTCTACTACTCCAACTAATTTCATTTCATCCTGGAAAGATAACAGCATAGATGTGTGCAGTATAGCAATATGTTCCATTCTATTGCAAACAACAGTGCAATACATTTCATTTATATTTTTTTTGGCAGACATCTGCTTCCTGTAGCACATTTTTACGAACGTTGTGATTTACTTCAGCGGGTTTCTAAGGATGATTAAAAAAACTTCAGCATCTGTTGACTCAAACACCATTTGGTTCTTTATCTACAAAGTCAACAGACGGCACAGGAAACACACGGCGATGACCTGAGTTAAAGAAAACAGCCTCCCAGCCAAGTAGGTTTATAAATGAGCGAGGCAAAGCGTTCACTCAAGGATGTATGAGTAATGTGGGGGGAAACATTATGGCATCGGTACTGATTACCACCCAAAAAGTGAGAGGATGATTCCTTAAGAGTTAAAACGGTTGTTATGCCTAGATGTTAGTTTCCTAGATTCATTAAACATTGGGCTAAAATCTTTTCTTCTTTTTTTTTGCGAGTGAGAATTAATATTATGTGTGCACTTTGCACAATCTGCACATCTGGATGTTAGTGGACTGTAATGTGGAAATATAAATGGGAAGATAGAGTTGCAATAAGCACACTCTTTTGTGTTGAAATCAACACAAACAAGTCTGCCCTCTTAAGGCAAGATTTATGCCCTGTCTATGTCAATATCAAGTTTATAGCACCACCTGGTGGACACAAAACTATGTTTTTGTTTGCTGCTTTTCTAGGAATTGCTTATGTGCAACAGGACAGATTTGGCCAAAATCTATGATAACTGAACTGAATACAAATATAAGTAAATATGAATGCCAATCTAAATCTTAAAACCCAAATCAACCCAGTTTCACAGACAAGGCTTAAGCCTAGTCCCAGACTAAAATACATGTTTGAGTTGTTGCTTTTTTTTTTACTGAAAGCAACTTAAAATGTCACTTCCATTATTTTGTCTCAAGATGCACACCAGTAATTTTTAAAGGCACATTTATAAAAGATACTTACATGTCCTTATTGAACTAAGGCCTAATCTAAGCCCTGTCTATAAAAACCAGGCCTGAATGTCCAAAATAAATGATAAAAAAAAGATTGAAAATCCAGTGAAACAAGAATCCCTTGCTTTTTTAACAATAAAAGGTAAATACCTTTTAAATGTTTAAATATCTCCTTTCATGAGCTTGTGCCCATGTCAGCAGCACAAAAAAACCTTATCAGCATGACATACTGTGCAGCGCACCGTAAGACAGCAACGACAGCAGAAAATAGATCCAAGAAAATGAAAGCCTAATTCTTCGCTTTTATTTTTAATGAAACGGGACCCTGGAGGCAGTAAAATGGACTCCTCTTATTCCAAGCTCATTAATACTTAGTAACATAAAGATTGAGATGTGATAGTGGAAGAAGAATGTGAATTATTTATGCAGGGTGACTGTACCTCTTATGCTGCACAATTTAAATCATGAATACTGGAAAATATTAAATTCCTTAGCCATATTAGTATATTTCTATTAGTAATCAATCATGCTGTGACATAATACTACCACAATTCATTTTCTAGTAGTAATCCCTTGTGCAAATAATGGCCATTTAAATGTGTTTAAGTGCTGTTTACGAGCAGGATCCAGTTCACATTTACCTTTAGGTGTACGTTGTGATCAGCATCCGCGCTGTGATTAAAGGCCTGTATTTTTAAGCCTTCCTCTCCTCTCCACTCCTCTTCACTGTGGTGGGTGTCCTTCAGTGGGCTCTGGTTCTCAGGAGGCAGAGGCGAGGAGGGAGCGCAGGGCTCAGATTGAGTCTGTTCTTCTGGACCAGACAGGATGGCAGCAGAAGCATAGTGAGAGGAGAGAGCTGCTCTCAGGTTCTCCGCTAATAAACAGAGAGTGCGACAGCGCGATATTAATAACTGCTGGCAAGATTACTATGCATGCAGTTGTGTGTATTGTGGTTCAATAACATGAAAAAAAAACTTGTAGTATTGTTAAAAAGTATTGAAAAAGCGAAGCATATTGTGTCTATAAATCTAAGGGTGTGAGAATGTGCATGTGCACAAACACTAAATTTAACTGTTTTGACTTCACAACGTTTGAATGGTATTGTATGTATTGATGTGTGTCTCTCAGCAGACTCCCACCCTCTTTAAGAGCAGCGCCGAGCAGTACTCCAGCCTGGGGGATGTCTTCCATGCTGGGCCGTACCAGCAGCCTTGGGTCTGGACCTGGCTCGCGTTGTCCTGCCATGACTGACAGCTCGGCGTAGATGTGGAGCTTCTCCTCCAGATTGGCACAGATGAGATGATCGTGGCCGCACAGAGACTCTGTGAAAGAAAATGTTCGGTGGTCATGTTAAAAAAAAAAGTTCTTTAGCTGAGGCAAATGACACTACACCACTCATTGACTGCTATTCGAAAGAAACTGTATTCTGGTGAAATAAGTGTTTCTTTGCAAGCAGCATGCAAAAATCAGATGTATTTCATTTTATTATTAGATGTTTTACCAGTAACAGATTATTTTTGGAGAGCTCTCAAAGCATGAAATAAACTTATAATAATGCACTTTATTTAATGGCGCCTTTCAGAACACCCAAGGTCACCTCACAAGCAAAATACAGATCACTACACAAGACAAAACACACAACGAACACTCCGCATATACAGATAAAGTGCAGTTAAGAATCAATAAAACATATTATAAAAAAGCCTGTATAAAAAGATATGTCTTAAAACTCGTTTTAAAAGTCAACAAGCAATCGCTATTGCAATTGCTTAGGTCAGTAAGGGTTTAGGATTATGTGCATTCTTAAAGTGCCATAAGCATTTGTCAGAACGTAAGTTTCCTGCAATTCCATGATAATGTAAGATAAATTAAGATGAATGGCAATGCTAATGGATAGATATATCTAGGTATTATAAATTAAACATTTCAGCTATTATAAACCCTCTTTGGATTCATCAGCATAGCTGGTTGCTTGTATCACCTTGAAGCCTGTGAATCTTTTGGACCTTTGCTTCGGTAACTCTCTTTTCCTCTTCTGATTCACTCGTAGTCTCATCCTCCTCTTCAGGGCAACTTAGCAAAACAAATACAATTTAAAATGAGTAAAATCCCACACTACAAAAAAAGTTGAAGAGAGATTTTTTTTCCTCTCAGCTGTCCTTGTAGAGAAGAATCAATATACACAAGTATGACATGTTTCATCTTATGGTGTTATGGTGATGGGAACAGCACTCCTCATCACTACACACCTCTCCACAGCCTCTCTGATGAGTCTCATCCAGGCATTGCGTTCATCTTTAGAAGTAGCGTGCACTTCATACATCTCAGGCCCAGCTGAAGATGCGCTGATCAGAAACATGCCTCTCTCCTCATTGGCCACCTCCCGCACGATCAGCTTCTGCAGAGAGATCACTGGAGGCTTCTGGTCCTGAGAAACAGTGCAAAGAAAACATATCTAACTTTACACAGTTACATCAAAGATTAAAGATACATCATCAGATTTACACAAAAACAAACTGGCATTCAATGCACACTTAATAGAAGTGTGATATAGAATATGATCAAATATATTCCCTAAATACAAATAGTTACACTACTGCTCAAAAGTTTGGGGTCATTAAGATCTTTTTTTTTAAAGAAATTAATACTTTTATTCAACAAAGATGCATTAAATAGATCAAAAGTAAGAGTAAAGAAAAACATGTACAATGTTACAAAATATTTCTATTTCAAATAAATGGGTCTTTAGAACTTTCTATTTATCAAATAATCCTAAAAAAAGAAAACGTACCATGGTTTTCACAAAAAAATTGTGAAATTTTTGTGAAATCAGCACAAATGTTTGCAACAATTTAGACACCAAATCAGCATATTAGAATTATTTCTGAAGGATCATGTGACATTAAAGACTGGAGTAAAGGCAGCTGAAAATTCAGAAATAACAATTTAAAATTAATTAAAATAGAAAACAGTTATTTTAAATTTCATTAATACTTTGCAATACTACGCATTTCAAAAACATGAAAAAAATGTTTTTACCAAACCCAAACTCCTGAACAGTAGTGTTTGCTTTATAGAGATGAAAACACATAGTAATCTCAGAAACCAACCACAGCGGCAAAGATGTATTTCTGATCTTTCTCTTGAAGGAACACCAATGAATCAGACAGCAAAAACGCCAAAACATCTGTTGATGATCAAATAATGTAATCAGATATTTCATCTACTTAGCCAGAATTAAGTACAAATGGCTGTTCATATGTCTTTCATATTGACTACTGCATGATGTGTTGTGACCGTTTCATTTGACAATCACCTTTCAGTCTTCCTGTGGCCGTCTTCCAGAGCAGCGGGCCCTGGTGCCGCAGAGCCCTGCCACTGGTGATGTCCTGCTTGCGGAAGGTGTAACCACTCTTCAGTTTGGTAGTACACTTGTTCTCCATGCGGCCCAGGACCTCACTCAGCTTCTGGTTCTGCTCGAACTGACTCACGTGCTGGTCCACAGCAGAGATCAGCTCTCGGATCAGGACTAGCGCACGAGACAGGTCAGCATGCTCTTCTGTGTGCTCTGAAACAAAGAACAAAAGAAACTGAGTCTAAACAAATGTTTGGTTGTGATTTTGTTTGGTTGTGATTTTGTTTGGTTGTGATTTTGTGTGTGTGTGTGTGTGTGTGTGTGTGTGTGTGTGTGTGTGTGTGTGTGTGTGTGTGTGTGTGTGAGGAATAATACCCTCTGTGTACTGCAGTATTCTCTCCAGGAGGACAGGGTATTTCGTTATTCGCTGCGTCACTAACAAAATGCATTCTGGGATTTCTCGCCTCTTTACCAATGAGTTGCTACTCTGTTGCTGTGGAACCAAAAAGATTAAGTGTGTGTTAACTGAGTGATTAACTTAAATTCAGTGCAGCTGAAAGCATCCATAATACATCAATATGCGACTGATTTAGTCATTGTGTGATTTGAATCTCACTTTGATGAAGAGCTGAAATCTCTTGTTCTGCTGCTGAAGCTCTTTGAAGTAGCTGACCGCTTCTGTGTGATGACTGCAAAACTCACCATACACCTGCTTCATCTTCTCTGCATTCTCCTGGGAGAACTATGATGAAAACAAACACACACCTTACACCTATGATGTTTCCCATGATGTAGTACTTCTTATGTATTGAATACAATTTTATATATATATATTATATATATATATATATATATATATATATGTATATGTGCAATCCATATCTGTCATTCAATATAAATACCAAGTTCTGGCATGAAACTCTAGATGGTGTAGGGTGATAGGGTCCTTAACTCATTTGGTAGCATTCGCATCGTCATCTACATCTACGTAGCGCAGCTGATTGGTTGCTGTTGGATCAGCAGCCAATGAGCTGCAGCTCAACAGTCAACATTCAAATACTGGTAGTTTGCTGTTAGCAGTCTGTAGTGTGCTTTCAGAAAGCATCTGAAATCAACATCTAAGATAACGGCACACTCTTTTACTCCATATAATTGTGCACTTTTAAAGGGGTTACCATGTTTAGCTGCATAACTCTAATGACGCGTTCATTTATTTGTCTTTATCGTCTCTACAGCTTTTTCACTTATCAATAGAGTATAAGGATTATGTCAATGATACATCAAATGATTAATTATGATACAGGTGGTTTCGGGAAACAGTCGTGACTAGCTAGTTAGTTTCTCCAACAATGTTTTGTATTCTGGTAGTTAAGCAGCAAGTTATGTCATAGGTCACAAAACAGGTCTGGAGTGTGCTTGTAGTACAATCTCAACTGAAAATATTTGACTCAAAAGAAGGATGTGTTCATTGCTGCTTCTCTCATGAACGTGCCAAGGAGGCTTAACTCCGCCCATAATAGGCAAACCGCTTGGTCACGGTTCAGCCATAATATCTGATTAAATGGTATACTTTTCAATGAGGCTCAATTTGTTAACTACATTGGTTATCATTAACTATCAATAAAAAATAAAAAAAATCTAAAGCATTTATTAGTCTTAAATAATATTAATTTTAACATTTATTAATACATTATTCAATTCAAAAGTTGTATCTGTTCATTTCATTTAAAGGGACACTATGCAGCTTTTTTAGTTTAACTGAACAGCTTCAGAGTTATTGAAATGGTTATATAACTTCTTTCGGGTTGAATAGTGGGCGTCTCGACCCCCCCCTGGTGCCTGTGAGCGGAAAAATCTCACTTGCAACTTCGGTGCGGCGGGCCGCCGTGCTCAGTGTCAGGAAGTATCGCGTGATATCAGCTCTCGTGATGTAACATATTCCTTTACGGCAACTGCACACATACACACAGTAACAAGGTATAGAGGGATGCAGTTTGTCACACTATCGTCATGGCTGAGCCGGCATATAAGATGCAGAAAGCTAGGAAAGCATTGTCGGAGGAACAGAGAAAGAGGAAACGGCAGACTGACCGAGCGAGGAGTCGGACACGAGCATAGGCATAATTTGCGGGTGTGTTATGTCCCCATTGAAACCTCTCGCGGCACGGATGTACCATTACAAACAAATAAAACATCTCCAGGTAACTCTAGTAGAGCATTCATTTCGTTCGTTTGTTAAATAAGAGTCGATCTGAAATGTGTTATTTTTGAAATCAAGTGACCAAAGTGCTCGTTGCCTCTGCGATCAGTGGTGCAGATAAGTTACAGTGTTCTGTTGTGACGCGCGCCTGAATCCGTTGCGGGTTATATTTTGTTATGGTGAAATCACAAAACCTAATGCACAAAAAACATGTCCCTGCTTGAAATACAACCACTAATAAACAATCGGTTTTGATGAGGAAAATAAACTATACTACTAGTACCGATTAGAACCCAGAACCTCTGACACACTTGGAAAAAGTTCTGCCTCTGGACCATTAAAGTTCATGGGGATAATTGTCGGATCTATGTATTTAATCACGTGAAAATTCTCACCACTAACAACATACACTCACCGGCCACTTTATTAGGTACCCCATGCTAGTAACGGGTTGGACCCCCTTTTGCCTTCAGAACTGCCTCAATTCTTCGTGGCATAGATTCAACAAGGTGCTGGAAGCATTCCTCAGGGAGTTTGGTCCATATTGACATGATGGCATCACACAGTTGCCGCAGATTTGTCGGCTGCACATCCATGATGCGAATCTCCCGTTCCACCACATCCCAAAGATGCTCTATTGGGTTGAGATCTGGTGACTGTGGAGGCCATTTTAGTACAGTGAACTCATTGTCATGTTCAAGAAACCAATTTGAAATGATTAGAGCTTTGTGACATGGTGGAAGTAGCCATCAGAGGATGGTGGCCATAAAGGGATGGACATGGTCAGAAACAATGCTCAGGTAGGCCGTGGCATTTAAACGATGCCCAATTGGCACTAAGGGGCCTAAAGTGTGCCAGGAAAACATCCCCCACACCATTACACCACCACCACCACCAGCCTGCACAGTGGTAACAAGGCATGATGGTTCCATGTTCTCATTCTGTTTACGCCAAATTCTGACTCTAACATCTGAATGTCACAACAGAAATCGAGACTCATCAGACCAGGCAACATTTTTCCAGTCTTCAACTGTTCAATTTTGGTGAGCTCTTGCAAATTGTAGCCTCTTTTTCCTATTTGTAGTGGAGATGAGTGGTACCCGGTGGAGTCTTCTGCTGTTGTAGCCCATCCGCCTCAAGGTTGTGCGTGTTGTGGCTTCACAAATGCTTTGCTGCATACCTCGGTTGTAACGAGTGGTTATTTCAGTCACTGTTGCCCTTCTATCAGCTCGAACCAGTCTGGCCATTCTCCTCTGACCTCTGGCATCAACAAGGCATTTCCGCCCACAGAACTGCCGCTCACTGGATGTTTTTTCTTTTTCGGACCATTCTCTGTAAACCCTAGAGATGGTTGTGCGTGAAAATCCCAGTAGATTAGCAGTTTCTGAAATACTCAGACCAGCCCTTCTGGCACCAACAATCATGCCACGTTCAAAGTCACTCAAATCAACTTTCTTCCCCATACTGATGCTCGGTTTGAACTGCAGGAGATTGTCTTGACCATGTCTACATGCCTAAATGCACTGAGTTGCCGCCATGTGATTGGCTGCTTAGAAATTAAGTGTTAACGAGCAGTTGGACAGGTGTACCTAATAAAGTGGCCGGTGAGTGTATATTATATCTCATTAAACGACAAATTAAACACAATGTACTATTGTTTACTATGTAATAGGCCATGTCACGCTCTGAGTGAGTGGTATTTACGACAGTAACGTTAAATTCAAGTACTCCACAGTAACTCTAGGGGTCGCTGTTTGACAAAAACGGGATTCCTGCATAATGCCCCTTTAATGGAGTCCAGAGCTAACGTGAACTAACGATGAACAATTATATTTTTATTGACTAATGTTAATAAAAATGAATAAATACAGTAAAAAATGTATTGGCTCATTGTTAGTAAATGCTATTTAATGCGTTAACTAACATTACCTAATGGGACCTAATTGTAGAGTGTTACCGATAAAACTTTCAACTTGAATTGTGTACTCACACAAAAACATTGAAGACAATTTATATACCTGTTGCAGAAAAATGTCACCCACATGGTGGATGAGGTAGTTCTTGTTGCTGTTTGGCTGGACACAGCTTTGCCGTAGTTCCCTCATCGCTGACAGAAAGTCACGGTGGAGGAGAAGCAGTTCATCTAAGCAAGGGAAAATCCGACCAATGGTGTCCGTATCCAGCCCGACTTCCTCCCGCATTCCCCTCCTGAAGACCTCCGCCATTACCATGAGCGTCTGGACGTGATGGAGCTCGGTTTGCATGAACTCTGAGTAAGACCAAGAGCACAAAAACACTTACAAATGATGAGCAGCTATGAACAGAACACACCTGCACAAAATGACTGTTTCAGCTGACCGTAAATGACATCCTGTCTCTTGACGATGCGTTTTTCCTGCATCTTACAGAACTGGGGTTCCACCGCTAGGCTCCATGACTCCGCCTCTAAATCCATAGCATTCATCACCAGCTCATTCTGTAGGGGGGCATCTACAGTGTCTGAGGAATTAATTTCTTTATTGGATTTTTCAATACGGAATATCAATGGCTGCTGAAAATTCAGCTTTGCCATTACAGTAATACATTACATTTTAAAAATTATTAAAAACAGTTCTTTTAAATTGTAATAATATTTCACAATATTACTGTTTTACTGTATTTTTTTATCAAATAAATGCAGCCTTAGTGTGCAAAAGATTCTACTTTCAAAAAAATAAATAAAAAAAACGAATTATTCCAAACTTCTGATCGGTAGAGTGAATAAAAAAAGAAAAATGAAGGGGTCAATAGGAGGTTTTTGAGGGTCTCTTAACACTCTGTTGAGCTTGGAGTAGTAACATATTTCACCAGTTACTTCATCAAATGTCCAGCTGTTTTACCTTCAATGAGAGACGAATCAGTGGATGTTGAGGACTCCATTGTTTGGAGGAGCTCCTCTGATTGGATGTAGTTCCGCCACGGGGAGGAGTCACTATCTGCTTCTGGGCTCTCACTAAGCCTGATAGAAAATTTCATAAATTACTATAAGGAGCCTTAAACACTCTCACTTATTTCAACAAATACAAACTTTGGGCACTTATGATGTCTTGGCTCATACAGACATTGAATATTTAAGGAAATGGAATGATAAAAGTAAAATTAGTCGATTCACTTCAATATTATGTCTGAAATTAGAATGTTGCAGGTATATTTGGACAAAACTTTTTTAATAATATTTTAAAATTGTAATATTTAAGACTGAACACATCACAGCATATGGGTAATTTCCTTCACGATTCATTTATCTAGCTAGTTTTTGGTTGAATATTACTACACAGTAAGAGTGTGGGACCTTTCTGTGACTGCAGGCACACTTCTGGACAGAGGGCAAGGAAGAGGAGTAGAGTCTCGTGATGTCATCACAGGAAGAGAGGCAGAGGTGGGTATCTGAGAGGACGAGGAACTTTCACGCACTATAAAATCTAAATGTGACAGAAAGAAAAGGTGAGAGCAAAACCAAGACAGAAGTGTAAATGCATGAAAAACAACTTTGGCGTTAAATAAGTTGGTAGTGGGGGTGATATTATAAGCTTTCGCTTTATAAAGCTGGTAAAACTCACTTTGAGGGAGGGAGGCTGTCCTGCTTTTTACTGTCATCACAGAATATTTGTCTTGAGGCTTCTGTAAACGAGAGTTAATACACGTTTATTAATTAATAATATACTTTTTTTTAAACTTCACATTTCCTCTTATGTTACACTGATAGCCAGTATTCTGTATTGTAATAATGGGGCTCATTACAGATTCTCTGCACTTTGTGTTTGACCAACATGGTTTAAATATTAAACTTAGGCAATCTATCAGACTTGCATGTAGTTCAAGAGAAAAAAAGCACAGTCCACCTTCAGGCATGGCGTCGATGAGTCCTTACAGCCCTTATGGACACTCACTGCACAGTCTAGGATGAAAGAGCAAATTAACAAACAATATTTTTAAAAAAAACATCTACTGAATCAACTGGCAGATTTCCAAGAAATTTTCCAAAACACAAAAACAGATAGAATGATTCAATACAAACCTCCATGTTGCCAGAAACCCAATACAACATATTTTAAGATGAATAAAAATGGCAGTTTGATTATTTAAAATATTAGTTTCTACTTAAATGAACTCACATGCGCAGTGGAAGACCTCTTTCCCAGAAGCTGGCTTGCTGCAGATCTCACAAAGTGTCGACCCCAGGACAGATCCTGCTGTGAACTGGTGTCCATTGACCTGTTTGTCTTTGGTTTCTCTCTCTTTTCCTTTCCCCTTAAAAAACCAAGGGAAAGCCATCACTGCACATTAAACTCATCTCTACACTATTTCTGCTTGTGAAGTTAGTTTAAGTGTGACATGCTTGTGTGGCAAAAAAGGCCATGGGAGAGTTTGCCGCTGGTAAAACAGTTACAGCCAAACGAAAGTTTAATGATTAAAAGGGACTCCTATGGTTGTTTTTGGGCTTAACAATCAGTCTTTACCCCCTTCTCTTTTCATCCTTCCTTAATGTCTAGTAAAGGAACATTGTGTGCAAAAACCAGGCTGAAATAGTTCAGTTTACAAACAAAAACGACATTGTATGAAGTAATATTGTTGAAAAAAGTTCAAGATTTGAACATAGATGGTAATGGTTTAAAAAAAAGTATCATAATATTGATTGATGATTAATATTTATATTTCTCTGTGACCTTTAAATATTGATTGATGATTAATATGTATATTTCTCTGTGACCTTTACCATTATAGGTCAAGATATGTTTTTAGATGACTAATGCTTACACATAAATTGTTATATATTATAAATTGTACATATTGTAATATGTAAATATATACAATGAAAATATGCAAGATATTAAAAACTTACTGTTCTTGTTTTTTTTAAATACAGTAAAACAGTAATATTGTGAAATATTATTAGAATTTAAAATAACTGTTCTATTTTAATATTTTAAGAAATATTTCTTATCAATGTAGAAAACAGTTGTGTTGCTTAATATTTTTGTGGAAACTATAATGCTTGTTTTTTTTAAATATCTTTGATAAATCGAAAGTTCAAAATAAGAGCATTTATTTTATTTTTTATATCTTTCCTGTCACTTTTGATCACTTTAATGCATCCTTGCTGATTAAACGTATTAATTTCTTATTCAAATCTTACTGACAACATACTTTTGAATCGAAGGTACATGCATGTATGTTTACCTTGCTCTTGTTGCGGGTACTATACATTCGGCTCTTTATGAAGCTGAAAGTGCGGCTGACTTTGTATTTTTCTGACTCTGATTTGGAAGGGATGATATATTTGTCCCATTCCTCCTCCTCAATCCTGGAACACACATTATTCACATGGAGCGCATTAAAATCACAGACACATGCCTGTACAGTGGGGCGTTTTAATGTCAACACAGATTTTACTTTTCAGACCATGATGTAGCTGTAGTTTCATTAACGCATTTCTTTCAGGCTCATTCAGTCATTCATTATTTTCCAGGCTACAGGAAAATTAATAATTAGTCATCACCCTCTGTGCCAAAAAGAAGACATACCACCTGAGCAGTGCGGACATTCTATGCATTTCACACATTCCTGATTAGAAATCTTTTGCTCGGTGGGAGGTGAGTTGTGAGACGAGGACAACAGTTAGGTTCACAAACAAGGAGTGTTATTACATATTGCAGTGTCGACACAGTGAAGTGACAGCATCATTTGGAGTCATCTCACAAACGTTAAGAAGCATTAGACGTGATTTCATGCCAGTAGGTGATTGTGCATTCTGGTTAGGTTATTAAAAGGATCATGCCAAGAGTGCACTTGGTGTTTAGTAGCTAGAGGTCTCTGTATTGACATACTCTTTGAGGAATTCGGAGAGCGTGAGGTGTTGGAGGGAGTCGGCCAACTCTGCACTGGTCTCATCATCAGCTGACTGAGCGCGCCTACGAAACATTAACTCCCTATAGAGGTACAGTACAGCACTCTGAGTCTTTATACACAGCAGATACATGCATTTCCATTTTAATGTATGCACAGACACATCCTGCCCCTGGAGGGCACTATTGTGCTTTGCTGTAAAAAAAGAATAGTGAGAAAGACATAGGGAATTTAAAATGCCACATGGAAATAAGCTAACAGATATGGATGATCATTGTATATAAGATCCAACACCACAGACAAGGGGCTCTTAATGCAGAAAGTGTACCTCACTCACCAACTACATACATCTTTTTGTACTTATTTAAATAAAAAACAACTCTAAAAGGTTTACACCTGAAACAGGCGCAACAACCTTCAAATCAACAGGAAGCACTCTGTCTCCTGGCAACCTTGTAGTCAGGGACACTGGAGAGCTCTGCTCAACCGTTTTATTCTCTAATTAGTGATTAATACCTAATAGAGGAATCAGGGCAGATGACAGGTGGTTAGAGGTGGTCTGCGTTACCTTTTCTCTTGAGGCTGATCTGATGTGCTGCAGGCACGATGTTCTGTGGAAAAGAAAATATGGATGTAAATATACTGGTTCTATCTTTAAGAACTCTCCTCCTCTCCTCTGATTCTATAAACACATTCATCTGAACTGAAGATTGATGACATCATCCTTCCTTTCCAGCAACATCCTATCAAATAATGATGAAACCCCTTGAGGGTGAAGGCAGACAGATGCACTGCCATTAGGCTCCCACAACCAGCGAGCAAAGCCAATAAAGCCGTGGAAAGCTCACGCATACAGTGTTATTATTGTTAACTAAAACTATTAACTATAATTTTCAGTATCTGAAATAAAGCTGAAATAAAATAAAATGTAAATATTAGATAAAAAAAATTTTTTTAACTAAAATACGTTTTTGTTTGAGTATAAAATGAGGCACTAATTTTCCTAAAACAAAAAATGAAAGTTAAATAGAAATATATATTTTTAAACTAATACTAATACAAAAAAACAAATAAAATTACTAAAACTAAAATGAAAACTGAAAAAAAATTGAAAGACACATACACACTTTTTTTTCAGTTGTTCACTTTCTCCCACACAAAGACACAGAGCGCTTTCAGCAGCAGAAGTGTTGTGCTATGTTAGTAGTGGCGTGTGGCGAGCAGGCGTAACTGGAAGGCGAGCAGGCGAGGCTGTACTTACTAACAGGGTTGAGCAGAGACAGAGATTTAGACAGAGACAGGGCGTGTAGGAGAGACCTGCTGCCACTGCTACTGGGGAGGGCACCATCTAGAGGACACAGCGGACATGACACTCACTACAGCCCGCCACTACTCTACACATACATAGTGTGCTGGTTTTGAATGGAAGGGTTATGAAATGTTATGGCTGAAACGGCCAAAAACTGTTGATTTCATCCTCTGCTCATGGTAATATCAAATAGCAGCACATTTTTGCTGTGTCTCAAAGCCAATCGTTCAAACATGCCTATCCCTGCTTGAAAATCCAACTTAAAGGGATAGTTCACCCAAAAATGAAAATTTGCTGTTAATTTACTTACCCTCAGGCCATCCAAGATGTAGGTGAATTTTTTTCTTTAGTAGAACAGTAAAGAAGATTTTTAGCTGAAACCGTGGTCCTTTGTGATTCATATAATGGAAGTCGATGGGTGCCGTCACTTTGAGATTCAAAAAAACATATGCAGACAAAGCAAAATTAATACCAGTGGCTCCTGACGATACACTGAGGCATCAGCTCACGTGTGAGGTCACTCCCGTGCATATGTCATTATGCGACAGGAAGCTATAGCGCTCAGGACCGTTTGCCAAGGCTGATAGAGGTAAAAATGTTGTAAATAATGTTCAGTTTCTTGCATAGACAGATCGTATTGCTTCTTAAGACCTCAATGCGGATATTAATTTAGCTTTGCCTGCATATGTTTTTTTGAATCTCAAAGTAACGGCACCCATTGACTTCCATTATATGAATCACCGAGGACCACGGTTTCAGCTAAAAATCTTCTTTACTGTTCTACTGAAGAAAAGAGTCAACTACATCTTGGATGGCCTGAGCTTGAGTAAATTACCAGCAAAACATTTATTGGGGTGAACAATCCCTTTAAGCTGGCAGCTAAATGTTTCGGAACATGGTAAGTGGTTTCTAGCGGGTCTAAGCTGAACGTTAGCGGTTCCAAGCTCATCATTGGTTGGACGACCAACCACAATGTTCCAAAAACCAACCTGACCATCTGAAGCTGGTAGTAGATGGATTTCTGATCCAAGATGGTTTACCAGCTTATGAACCGTTTATACCAGCTACCATGTTCTACAAAAAAAATGTACAATCTTAAATCATTTTTTTCCAGCAGGGATGATGTTCAAAAAAATCTGTATGGCCAGCTAACTTGGTTTTGAGTATATTTGTTAGTAGTGTGTGTCTGTTCACTACAGTTTTGTTAGTGACTACCAAACATGCTTCTAGCTAGTGTAAATGCTATTACAGTACATTCAGCTATTATTTTGGTGTCCCTAAATCATTTTTTTACAGATTTTATAACGAGAAAGGCATATTCAGAAAGGAAAAATCAGAAATTTCCTATAAACATTAATAATCTACTAAATTGGCTTAGATTAATGGAAAACAACAGGCTCAATGATGCTATCAAATGACATTCAGAGGCATTAACTTCTACAGAAGCTGGTAATTGCTGGGAGAATCTCTGACTCAGTGGATGTTAATGAATGCAGATCATCTGTGGGTATTAGACACAAGCTGTATTTTGTAGTTACTCCCTTTTAAAGAGATAAAACAATTGATCCAAGGAGATCAAAACTAAATGCTGTATATGAAACACATTAAGAAAGTAGGCCTGTTTCACACTGCATATGGAAGCAGAGCACAATCGAAGCAGAAGCGTGACTGAAATAGCATTGTGTTTTGCTCTTTTTTTTTTAACACTGGCAGCGCTTTTGTAGCATAACAGAGCTGTGGTTCTTTAAAGAAAATAAAAGCAATACTCAATGCAGCAATCCAGAAATGACTTTAACTAAATTTTAAAATGGTTATCAGGAGTGTGTGCAATTCCGAAAAATGACCAACTTGATCATCATGAAATATAATTTACTTTGAAGGCATTTACATCCAAACGGTAATTAATCTACACATAACAGAACACAAACCCTGAAGTGTAGCTATAAACCACTTAAACCAGCTGGATTTGGATTTACTCCACAATGCACAGTGTGAATGCTTTAATCTGTGGTGCTGAGATAAATATGCACTGCTTACACTTGCAGGATCAAACAAGTCCTATATAAAGAAGTCTTCCAATCTTGCTATAAAAAATAAAAACCAAGAAAATAATATTTTAAATGAGTTACAAATCCCATCATCCCTTAAAAGCTCATCATACTTAAAACAGACTAGACAGGAAATACAAGAGATGTAATGACAGTCATTTCCAGCAAAGAGAAGAAACAAAAGATGCTTTCATGACTTCAAATTTGATATGTGATAGAAATATCTCAGTATAACCAAATCTATAAAATCTACCCATGCATCTTGATTTTTCTTTTCATATTTGACTCGACTTCCTGTCATTTGTCCCTAAGAAAGGCTAACCCTGGAAAAAAAACATGCATGTCATGTGGGAACTAATATGTGAGAGGTGGAAGGTGAGATGTTAGAGGATCTGACCCTGGTTGAGGTTGGTGGTTGGAGGGTGGGCATCCCTACTGAATCGTGGAGGCAGCAGGCTGATTTTAGGGGAGGTGTAGGAATATGAACGCAGACGGATGCCCTGCTCAATATCCTGAGAAAAGAAATAATATTATTTTCACTCAGTTTGCACACAGCTGATCTCAGTGCTCAAAAATGTAATGATCGTCATGTATTGTCTGTCTGTCTCACTGTGTGTAAGGGAAAATAGCTATGGTACCTTTGCAGGAGTGGGGTTACAGGCAGAGGAGGCAGAGTGAGAACGCGTGCAGGTAAGAACAGAGGCGGGACTAAACACAATCTGCCCATCTGCGCTGTTTTTGAGCTCAGGCTGTGGCTGGGGGAGGGGCTTCTTCATTAAAATGTCATCATCATCATCCTCCTCGCTGTCCATTTCCAAGGCCACCAGACTCGGGCTTAGAGAGAGGATTGGGCTTCTAAAAATTCTCAACAACCACTATGAGTAAGACTAGCATCACTTGCACATTGTGAGTAATTCATACATTTTGTGTTTGGCACAACACAACAACAACTCTTATATCTCACGGCAAGCCCAAAGTTTTCGAACAATGGAAACATTTTTCAAATTGATTCTGGACTTAAAAACTACATTCCTGCTTTATTGGGCAATTGCAAACAGGGCCAGGTAACTTCTCAGTTTGCCATAGAGCTGGGCGATATGGCCCCAAAACTATCACAATAAAATGTTTCATATCAGTTGATATCAATCATTTTCACAATAAATGTAAAAAATATTTAATTCAAGTTTAAAAGCAGTTTAAGTTGTGAAAATTTTAGAAACCAGGCAGTGAATTGTTGTTTTAAACTACCCAGAACATGACAAACACTTGTCAAACAGGTTCACAAATCTGAGGTAGAACATTCATTTTTAATTTTTTCCTTAAAATCTTAATAGAAATATTAGTTTCTTAGTTTCTGCATGTTCTAAAGGGTGATATTGTTGCAAATCATGACACAGGTTTGTGTTGCCTGACTTTGATGGCATGTATCTTTAGCAGAGTTTGCAGTGCAGACCGCAATATTAATAATATTACAGTTTTGTCTCTTAGAAATGCACATTTGACAGTATCAGTAGCTTGAGTTGGGATGATTTATGTTTATTAACAAAAACCGTAACATCTATTAAAATTGTAATAAACCAAATGGGGTAAAATTAAGATTTACCGGTAGATCAGAGTTAGGACTTAACCATTGGTCATCCATAGTATCATACATTTAGATCATGATAACCACAGGTAAAACCACGCATATAGCACCTCACAGTCACTACCATGGTAAACTTTTTTTTTTTAAACCTTGGTTTCTATGGTATTTGTATTAAAACCAGTAGCCTAAATACATTAAATATAAATGCTGTAGCTTAATGACAAAAATATTGTAATTATATTCCATTATTCCATTAATACATGTCTACATTAATAATATAATAAAATTTGATATCCCACATTTCTGCCACAATACCATGGTGCAGTTAGTGTTACTACAGTGAATCTATGGTAAATTATGGTGATTTGTAGATTAAAAAGCCTTCTAACTGGTTAATGGCACAATGTTTATCAATGCTGTTGAGAATGTCAGTGCTCTTTAAACTAGTTTAAATCACAGAGACATTTGTGTTTTTCACTGAATTCAAGTGCTTCTCACTGGATCTCACAGCGCTGTTTAGTGGACGCGTGATCGAGACCGATCAGCGAGTAAACACATCTGCTATAGGTTTGCACTGCTGTTTGAGCCGAACAGATACATTGTTTGTGGCGTGGTTCAAATGAGTAGTGCCGTTTCGTTCCTCTTTTGCCGCATAAACATTTTATCGAACATTTATCAAACTTTTGTTATCCTTTTATCGAGAAAAATTATATTGTGATAATTATCGTTTTATCGCCCAGCCCTAGTTTTGCCCTGGGTTTGTTTTTTGTTTGCCTGTATGGTTTCACAGACCTTCTACTGCAGAAGTTATCAGCAGGTTTTGCTCCAGAAAGCAAGTGGTGACCCAATACAGTAAAATGTATGTTATTGTACACACAAGTTAACAAAATGTCCTTAAAATGTTTTCCAAACATTGAAATCTATCAGATCTATCAGGTTCATGCTCTTAGCAGCCAAGAATTCCTTGACCAAAACACACATGGTCAGCACAAATCATGTTAATTCTTGCTGTAAGTGAACATGCATTTAAAGTAGTCTGTGTTGTTGTCTTATGTTACCCAACCTGTCCATTCTGGCATGTGTCTGATTTGGCTACTTCAAGCCACTAAGAAGTATGAAGTGAGGATGTAAACAACCCTTTATAAGTTTGGGGTTGGTACGATCGTTTTTTTTTTTTTAAAGGGATTAAATTCAAATTTAAATAAATTGTATTCAGCAAGGATGCATTGAATTCATCAAAAGTGAAAGTAAAAACATTTGTAATGTTACAAAAGACTGTTTTTACTGTATTATTGATCAAATAAATGCAGTCTTGGTAAACATTGAAGTCTTCTTTCAAAAACATAAAAAAAATCTTACCAACACCAGAATTTTAAAGGATAGTGTATAGAGTAAAGCGTCACATTTTTAAACACCTCCTGAATTAATTGATGGACACACCAAAACATCAATGTTAGTATGCTTACCTTAGGTCACATGACTCTGTCGGTGAGCTTGAACTGTTATAGGTCAGTTCAGCAGGTCGTGTGGCACGCATGAGTCTATCCAGCATTAGTCCCGCTGGAGAGGTGGGAGAGAAAGAACGCGAGCCGGGATGCCGTCCTCTCTGCCCGTCATCATCTTTAATAGCTGGAGGCATATCTATTGTCCCTGGTGATAAGACCCCTGTATCTGACATTCGCCACACGCCACTATCTGTCCCAGAACTGTCCTCTGTGACACCTGTAACATTGTACTTCATATTGAGGTCATTGTCCTACATTAGAAGAGAAAACAAATATATTTTAATGAAACAGGACAATGGCTATATAGTAATTTAGAAGGGTAGTTCAAACTAAAATAAAAAATTCTGTCATAATTTACTCACCCTCACGTTGTTAAAAAAAAACCTGTACAACTTACTTTCTTTTTTCCCATACAGTGAAAGTCAAAAAGATTCCAAACCATCACGACTTTCATTGTATTTTTTAGAAATATCTTCTTTTGTGTTGAACAGAAGAAATAAAATCATACAGGTAAGCAAATGATGACAGAATTTTCATTTTTGGGTGAACTATCCCTTTAATATAGTCTAACTAAACATAAAGTCATGGTTCTTTTATCACTGGATCTAAGAATTTAAATGCAAAGCCTGATGTCTCATAAATCAAATCAATAGACTGTTGTGGAAGTAAAAGAGTTGTGTCTACAGTTCTGGCTACAATATGCAAGATCAAATAAAGACTTTAACCAAGACTTTCACAGAGATTAATCAAAAGATAAAGGCACTAAATGAAAGGAGGAGATGGGATTTGGAGTGTCTGTAGATCTGGCGTACTGAACGATCTGATCTGTAGGAGCAGCGATATGTGTGGCGTCTGACCTTAGTGGAGCCTCTGAGCATGGCTGTGAGCCTGACGGAAGCAGCGCCTGAGGAGTGAAGGGGAAACGGAGGGCAGGAACCAGGAGACGAACACAACTTCTCTGTCAAAAAACAAAACAAAAAATACCACACTGTCAAACTGAAGCATGTGTGTCAATACAACTGGATGGAAATAGAAATGCAGTGTCAATGATATTTAAAAGTTAGCTAATAACAACAATAACAGCTGTCACTTCACATGCTTCTGCTTATGTTCTGTTCTCTGGAAAATTGTGTGTGCACATGTGTTTTGACAATATTGAAATGCCAAGATGGCAGAAGAAACCAGTAAAATAGAAAATAGCACAACAGCACGGTCTCTTTACAGCAGTTAAAATTTATGTTTCGTTTTTTTAAGGAGGCATTTACTTTCCTTTCGCACAGTTAACTCTATATTTCCCTGTGCATTTCAATTTTTTAAATTTCTCATTACAGTCCTACACTACCGTTCAGAAGTTTGGGGTCTTGATTTTTTTTAAAAGTATTTAGTACTTTTATTCAGCAAGGATGCATCGAATTGATCACAAGTGACAGTAAAGACATTTAAATATTGCAAAAGATTTCTATTTCACATACATGCTGTTCTTTTGCACTTTTAATTCAAATCAAATAATCCTGAAATAATAATAATAATGAAAATATTATGTAGCTCAATTATTTTCAACACTGACAATAATAAGAAATGTTTCTTGACCAGCAAATCAGATCATGTGACATTGGAGTAATAATGCTGAAAATTCAGCTTTGCCATAACACATTACATTACATTTTAAAATATATTAAAATAGACCATTGTAAAATGTTTATAGTATTTAACAAAACTATTGTTTTTAATGTATTTTTGATCAAATAAATGCAGCCTTGGTGAGCATTAGAGATTTCTTTCCAGAAACATAAAAAAATCTTATTGACCAGAAAGTTTTGAATGGTACTGTTGTATATCATTTATCAAACCGCCTGATCTAGATTTACATTTATTCATTTAGCTTGCACTTTTATTCAAACACACACAAAAGAGCCATTACTTAAGAAAATCTGCTATTTGCTTAAATAAATAATAACTTTCCATTAAAATATCCTAAATCTGAATAATAAATAATTTTCTGGGCACACACACAGAATTTGTAGTCCCAATGCAGACAAAGTGGTGCAGTGTGTGAAGAAAATAGAAGAAACAGACATTCAGTCTTTTTTCACGCACATTCGTAATGATCTTTACAGGTATGTGCAGAAACACAAACTTACACAAGTATATACACACAAAATCTTCCACCGACATTGTCAAACAAACACACCAAGATTACATTTCAAGGGAAAGATGTGTATATGTTGGCATGTAATCAACTGTGTGTACAATATGTTTAAGCAAAAGTGAGATTCCAATAACTTGCAGGGGCACCCTGTCATGACGGATACATGTGAAGGGACTCCAACAACAACGGAAAAACCAGATACTGACGTCAACTCAGTTTCATTCCTCTCCATACACGCGCGCGCACACACACACACCTCATCTAGATTACTTGGTGAATCACACATTTGCAGGAAACACAGTAACAGTTCTCATGTGTGCTGAATCCCCATCAACTCAAAAACAGATGTACTGCTACTGCATTTTTAAAATTAAAGTTTTCCAAAAGCTGAATGAAGCAGTTTTGCTTTCAAATGATGAATGCTGACGACTCACTTAATTTGTCATATGACTGGCAGTGAAGTTTTGCCTTTACCCTTTTCAGATAATACCTTTGACTACACAGGATGATGACCATACATATTTTTGAGGGGAGAAAGGAAAGACCAACACAACTGTAATGCCCTATCAAAAACATCTCACTGGCTCGAAGCTGTACCAGCTATTTGAGCTCTGACTCATGGCTGAATTAAGCCTGTAACGCTGCCCTGCACCATAGACCAAAAACAATTGAATCACTTAGACAAAAACACACAAACTCAAAGTCATGAGAGACAAACAAAGACTTTTAGGTTGTGTATGTGTGCTTTCTTCATGCATTGTATATGTGTGTCTTTGTTCCACACATCATTCGTACAGACCGGTTTTCTCTCTCTCTCCCCCTTACTCTCTCTAGTTACCTGCTTTTGATGTCCGTCTCCGGATTCTCATCTTTGGGAAGGATGGCCATGAGTAGTTAAATGGAGAGTCTGAGTCAGAGTCCATGTTTTTAATTTTCCTCAACTGCCCCGCTTTGCGAAACACATAACAGTAAAATCACCAACAGTTACCCAGGAGTTTGAGAACACCTTTCCAAAAAATGCAGATTCCACAGATAAGCCTTGAGGAGATGAGTCTGTGTGTGTTTGTGTGCGTGTCGGAGAAGGTGGGCTTAGTCTCGACACTCTATACTCCCACTTTTTTTGTTACAGGCAGAGTCAGGACTCAAACTGGACCTGGGAGAGCACGACAGAGGGATTTTCAAACTAAGGTGTCTGTAGGAATCTGGAAGGTCAGCCAAGGTTTAGGAATCATTAACCAAACACGCTAATAAAACCCCATGAGGTCCCGGTCCTCCCCTCAGTCTTTATAAACAAATAATATAGCAAACTGCAATTACACTGTGAAATAAAAATCACCATAATTATTTTTCATAAATTCATGATACAAAACAACCTTTTTTAATACAACTTACAGGCAGGAATGAGTCATGTATCGCCTCAAAAACAGTACAAGGATGGGCCAAACTGAGTTTTCAATAACAATCCCAGAGTAGTGGCCCACAATCTAATCCAGACCAGGTTCTTAAATGTATTAATAGCTGTACAAATAAATTGACTTAATCAATTCTGGGAGCTTGTCAGAATTTTTCATCTGAAAATTTTGCCTGGAAATCTGTGCTGTAACATCAGCTCTCTTTATCTCTGTCCCTGGAAAAATCAACACTCCTAATGCTGAGTTGATTGCTACCGAAAACTAAAGTTATTAAAACAAAAATAGACTTATAATTGTAAATAATAAAAATAATAATTTATATAATATAACATTGAAATTAAACCGATCCACAGCAAAATAAAACTTGATCCTACAAAACTAAACCCACACAGACCAAATCAACCTCAAATCCCACAAACTCAATCCTCCAAATCCCAAGTATACAAACATATCGCATCTAATTTCGCAGCACAAACTCAACCCGACAAACTCAACCCGACAGACTCAATTCAACTCACAAAATCAACCCTACTAAAATACTCAACACCACATATGAAAGCCAATATCTACTAGTTAAAATACCATGTCACCACCAGCCAGGAACTTTTAAAATGCAGTATTACAGCCAGGAGTGTGTGAGCCTGAGTCCAGACTCGAGATGTATTTCTCTCTGCATGTGGTGGACATTCAGTCTCTGCTAGAGAACCACTCAGTGTCTGTATGCGTCCGTCCCTCAGCGGGAACATGTGTTCCAGTAATCCAAACAGCAGACTCATTCAACCCACCAAACGTCTTAAAAGCCAACAAAGTTCATTTCACAAGTTCGGATTTCTACAAGATACAATGAGTGCGCAGCAACTCAATAATTATGTATGTCTGTGTGCAGCTCTTTAGAAAAGATCTCCAGACAGGTAAAGGTGAGTAAATATAAAATGTCAGACTTAATTCCCTTTTTCTTATATCCTTTCGTCCGTGTTCTTATTCCTTCATTTCTATGACAGCAGCATTGTCCATTCAGTTTAAACAGAGCCCTCCAAAACAGTTTGCTTCCAGTCGGCCTTCTATTTTCTGTGGAGAGTGACTGTTTTAGTCTCTCATGAAATCTGGGCTCCAACCCCAACTCTCTCCTCCCTCTGCCTCCAGAGTTTTTAGTGGCTAACCGTCTGTGTGAGACACTGAGTTTGTGTTTAAAACAAGAAATGGAGGAATAATAGTTCAGTAAAAAGATTATGAAAATAGGTTGCATATGTGCGTGTGACTTCATGTTATGATTGAATAAATTAATAAATATTCCTAGATCCATTATCATGAGTAAGACCCTATACTACTTAAAAAAAAAAAAGGTTTATACAAAATTATACTACAATTACAACTTGATGTTGATCAACCAAAAGTCATTTAGCATAGACATCTGCATATTTTGTGTGGTGCAATTTAATGATTGTAATTTTGTAATTAATTTTAAATAACTTTATCACCTAATCTCAGCAATTATGAAATATCATCCACAGGTCATACTGTGAACTTTCTTCCTCAAAAACTGACAAGGCGCACACACACAGTTTTCTTTCCTTAAAAAGAAAAAAAGTCTTTTTTTTCTCTAGGCTTAACCAAACAAAATCCAAATCTGTCCAAAGACTCCTATAACCTACTAAAGTAACCCCTGAGGTACACACAGGCCTGTTTGGGAATCATTTTGCTACATGAAGGTAACCGGGAGAAATCAGTGAGAGCATCTGTATCAGGATGAGGAACGCGTTCTGTGGGATGGGCTGAATTTTAAAGGATCATTTTAAATGTCAGCTTTTGTGCAAGTTTAAAAATCGAAGCTTGTTAACATTCCTTCCTCCACTTTACAGTTGAAACTGTGAATGTGCATGTGTGTGTGAGAGGGTGGTTTGGATGAAGGGGCCAATGCTGTTTCAAAAGAAAAGAGCCCCATCCTCTGTCCTCCTTGCTGAGCTATAAATCTCCCTTTGTTCCTCTAAAAGACAAAAAAAAATAGATTGCAATTTTAAACCAAGGACAGCAGATCCATAAGAGCAAAAGCAGCGCCTGAAATCCAGAAGGCACTTTTTCCCCATGAGCAACAACGACAAACTAATCAATGAACACTGAACAGAAGGCCTGCCCTATTTCATTTAGATGGAAAATGAGTATGTTCAGTTGCCAGTGCCTGCTACTTTGTAATTGTACTTGTAATACAATGAGAGTATGATTAAAAACACAAGACGTCTGTTTTGAATGAACATGATATTGCTCTAACCTCAAAGAATCCTCTTAAATTAAAAACTTTCTACTTCTTTAGCCAAACAGATGGTGCCAAATAAACTTTAGCCAAACAAAACACTGATGTGAATTAGGTTCAAATCAATTCAATAAGAAAATTCATGACTTCTACGTATTTAATAATCCTCCTCGTCCTCATGCATGCACGTACACAAAATAAAGCAAAGACAGTCGACAACATCACAGTTCCTTGTTGATATTGACACATGCATCCACCTTTCCCCATATTAGAACACTTAAATTTCTTAAATACTCTGTTCAAAACCTAGTGAGCTCCTTACAGATCCGAGATACAGCAGAAGGCTGTTCCAAACATTCAGCAACTTAATTATGTTGCCAGCTATACTGTAGTAACTTCTTTTGGCCAACGTCTAAGGCAGCATTCTAATGCATCATAACACATTGCAACAAGCTCAGTGAGAAATTAAACCCAAGATGGCACTATGAGATGAGGAAAATGTTGATTATAAATAGACATTAAAATCAGCTATTGTACCCAATATTTGTGTTTGCTATATGTTTTTATGTTTATTAGAGTATAACACTGTTAGCTTAATTGTAACACCAATTGTAACTAACCTTCGGAGTGAAACACTATTTGAGTTGCAGCTACTGTGGAGTGTTCTCTTATGAGATTCCATGCCCACAAATGGTTATGAAATACTAAATAATACTGTTTTCAGTGCAACAAAACACTGACTTTACAAGTTTCAAGTGGCAAGTTTGGGGTTGGTACAATTTTTAATGTTTTTGAAAAAGTCTCTTATGCTCACCAATGCTGCATTTATGTAATCAAACATGCATTAAAGGGGTCATATAATGGTACATGCACTTTTACAAGTTGATTGTACTGAAATGTGTGTTGGCAGTGCCTGTACACAACCACTATAAAATGATAAAAATCCATCCAGTGTTTTTGTTTTAATCTCCTTATATGTTTTCCCCTGCCTCAAATTGAGCCGTTCGATTTTGTGACGTCACACAGTCAGAAGCCCCTCCCACGATTGTTGATTGACAGCATCGTTTGAACACAGACCCGCCCTCGCTTGTGAGCGAGCTGTCAATCATAGTCTGCGCGGACCGGCGCGGTCATTGTTGATATGCTGGAGCACTGTCTATGAGCAGAATGGCGTCTAAGCGATTGTGGTGTTCTGTAATAACGCAGTCATTTTAATGTTCCTGAATCCGAACCGCTGAAGACGCAGTGGCTGAGTTTTGTTTTCGAAGGGAATATTCCCCACGAGCAACGTCAATGCTTTCATGTTTGCGCGAATCATTTCTCACCAGACTGCTTTATAAACGAGGGTCAGTATAAAGCTGGTTTTGCTAAGAAGCTGCTCCTGAATAAAGGATCGGTACCAACTATTCGTGTTCCTGCTGAACCTCCAGAAGAACTGAAGTGAGTGTAACGTTTTATTAACCTTTATATTAATATTTATATTAATCTTTGCAAATCGCTAGCTGCACGCTTCACAATGAATGCGTCTAAGGTTTACACTCAGGGTACATTACGGCATGTTTTCTATGTATGATGTTCTCAATATAATTCATAATCCCACGTTTATACTGAACAACGCATTATGGTTATTGTGTTACAAACAATGTACGCACAGAACAGAGAGGCGGGGTGAGCGAAGCTCATTATCATTTAAAGTCATATGCACTGAAACGGCGTGCTGAAAACAGAGCTGTTTTTGACCAGGTAAAATAAGTGTTTTCTTACAATACTAATGAGAATTTTTAATTAAAGTATATTACAAACTTTTAATTTAGACCCTAAAGAATCATACTAGCTTGTACAAAAATGGCATTATATGACCCCTTTAAAACATAGACAACTATTATTAGTTATATATTTTTCAGAAATCAATCTAATATGCTGATTTGCTGCTCAAAAAAACATTTCTTATTATCACTGTTGAAAAATATACTGTTTAATATTTGTGTAGAAACCATGATGCATGATTTTTCTGAATTCTTTGCTGAATAGAAAGATCAAAATAACAGCATTTATTTGTAATAAAACACATGAAATGAATGGATGCATATGTGTACCCGAGTTTAGATCTTCGTCCTCTTCATCTAGGCAGAGAACAAGCTGTTCTTCAAAGACCTGAAAAACACGATAACAAAAACAAACTCGCACACCACAATTCAACTGTTTTTAAGAACGAAAACAGAAAACAGAAAACCCCCACAAGAGCACATATGGCAGGTCTAAAGAAGACTAAGTGATCCATTATTGTGGTTCTGATTCCAGGAATTGAACTCCACTCACACTATCCACCAGGCTTTGGTCCTCAATTCTCAGCTGACTGTTCAGATCTGAGGAGCAGAAACAACAAATACAACATAAAAATGTATTTTCATCATGGTGACACCCATCACCATGCTGAGCAGTGACAGGAAATGTCTTCACATTAAGGTCAAAGGGTCACAGAGACTAAACCTGATGAGGCTCCTGCTGTCAACACAAGCTGGCAATCTCTATATGCATCTCTTTATAGCATTGCCATTTACATCATGCAATTTCTTCTTAATTAGTCCAACTGTAGGCAGATTATTTCTCTCGTTTTGTCCTGTCTTACCCCTCCCAAACATATAGTGTCTCTGTCTCTCAGCCCACCCAGGAGGAATGTGTCTCCTCATACTGGACATGTTTGGGAAACCAGCCGGAGGTCCCTCACAAAGACTGCTCTGTGTGTGTGTGTGTGTGTGTGTGTGTGTGTGTGTGTGTGTGTGTGTGTGTGTGTGTGTGTGTGTGTGTGTGTGTGTGTGTGTGTGTGTGTGTGTATTAGTGTATGTGTGCTCCTCATCCCACATTCTACCACAATGTCCTCCTGACTGAGCCAAATTCACCCAATGTACTCCAACAACCCTGCCAGACCTAACTCACAGTGACAGACAGTAAGCGAGAGAGAGAGAGAGCGAGAGCGAGAGAGAGAGAGAGAGAGAGAGAGAGAGAGACGGGTGTGGAGAGAACTGGGGTCAAGAAGAGGGAAAGGAACAAGAGACAAACAGAAAAAGAAAAAGTGGAATAACAGAAGGAGGATTGAGGGTGGGTGAGAGCCAGAAGAGAGGAAAATTTATCACATCAGCAGGATGAAACGTGATAAGACCTTGGCGAGAGCAAAATATAGAAACTAGTCATAAAATAAACCCAAGACAGGAGGAGTAAAATAAAGTGAAAAATAATAATATGAACATTATGGCCAGCTGTGATCCTGTGGAGTTTGAATTCTCACCACACGGCTTATATCTCATTTCCAGAAACCCACAAATATCAGTTGAAATCTTAAACTGTAACATTTTAGCTTAATAGTTGGATTGAGTTCATTTTTGCTAACAAGGGCAAAAATGTTGACAGACAGACAGTCTGTGAATTGGGGTAAAAATACATTGAAATGAGCTCTGGCTTACCTGCATCACATACATCAGAGGTGTGCACACTCCCCTCAGACGAGTCGCTCAGTCGCACCACCTGGAACACGCGTGTCAGGGTTGATACAGTATCACATTTGTGTTTGACATCAGTAGAATGAAGGTTTGGATCAAGAAGAAACTGTAGATTTCTGATTAAAATGCACTGTTAATAATTCACATAATGGAAAAGAAATCGCTGTAACACTTCAGGTCTGACCATAAATTCACATTTTGTTATGGGTTGATACACGTATGAAATTACGATCTGAACTTGTTTTAGATGGAAATCCAAAAAAAGCAAAAAAGCAATTTAAACATCTCGTTCTGACTGGATGTACACTATCATTTAAAAGTTTGGGGTCAGTAAGATATTTTTTTAAAGAAATTAATACTTTTATTCAGAAGGATGCATTAAATTGATCAAAAGTGACAGTAAAGACATTTATAATGTTACAATAGCATAGTGTTTCTAATTTAAATCAATTAAAACGTATCACAGTTTCCACAGAGAATATTAAGCAGCACAACTATTTTCAACATTGATAATAAGAAGGAATGTTTCTTGAGCATTAAATCAGTATATTAGAATGATTTTCTGAAGGATCATGTGACACTGAAGACTGGAGTAATGATGCTGAAAATTCTGCTTTGCATCAAAGGAATAAATTACCTTTTTAAATGTATTATAATAGAAAAAAGTTATTTTATTTAAAAAATGTTACTCTATTTTTAATCAAATAAATGCAGCCTCTTCTTTCAAAAACAAAAAACCTTTTAAACGGTACTGTACATTTACTTTTTAAACAATGTACAATTACACATAGTTGAGAGAAACATCACAGGCACGTGATTTACAGCACTTGTAATCTCTCTGGTGATCTTGCTCTGCCTGCCTGCAGTTGTTATATGAGAAATACCAGTCTGCTGCTCAAAGCACCTGTAAATGATACTGTAAACTGTAATAAAAGTTTCCAAAGTTATGACTTGAGTCCTTTATATGCTCATAAAACTCTTTCACACATCATTCTCCTGTAACCTGCCCTTAGCAGTTTATTTCTCGACGGCCGATGAAAAATGGAGGGTAGAGAGAGGGGTGACAGCTGAGAGGTGTATTTCTAACAGGGGATTATTTTACCTGCAGTGCAATTAAAATAAGGGCCTTTTGCACCAAAGTGTATGTTTTCATATTTCCTATAACTATTGGACGATGTACCAGTTTTTTGGCATGTTCGCACCACAGGAACATGCTACAGGAACTGGGAACAATTTTAGTTTTAGGATCGCCTTTTGTGAGGACTACTTCAAAGGAGGGTCTAACCCAGCACAATAGGAACTACCAGTGAGGTAAGAGTACGTTGATTGGCCAAATGCACACCGGCACCCGCCATTTTTAAAAAGACATGTTAGCTGGCACATACAGAAAACTGTTCTTATACTATAAAACATTTATTTATTCAGAATAGACAGCTAATTTGGAATTCTTTGGAATAACGGGCAATACACTGATTTCACGCAGCCGCCATTTTGAAATCGAAAGCGAGGCTCCGGTGGGAAGAACCCCGGAAGTAAAGATAAACAACAATGCCTTGGACTACCAACCTGAAGCTGCTGCTGCAATTTACACTATTGGATGTTAATATCCAATATAGGATATGTATATAGTTTGTTCCTGCTTCTTTTTTTACTTTCTGAATTAAATATAAAAAAATTATTTTATTTATAAATGAATTTCACTGTATATAGTCTAGTATGAAAGAAACTCATTTCTACATTAAACACAACAATACGCCATCGCATTCACGACTCTCCTGTGATTAAAGGCGGCACTTCCAGTTTTCTTCCCACCGGAGCCTCGCTTTCGATTTCAAAATAATGGCTGCGTGAAATCAGCGTATAGAGAAAGATGATTTTCGGGTCCAGATGGTGTAGTTACAACATCTACCAGCAGGGGCTAATAAGTCAGCTGACCCTTGGCCCCTTGATCAGAATGACTGGCAGATTGGGGGAGTGCTTGTGAAACCTGTTCAAAAACAGTCATCATTGTTGCACTTTTTTTTTAATAATCAGAAATGCTTACTGTTAAACTTAGTGAAAACCAGTTTTCTGTCTCTTTACACTCTCCTTTATTGGGAAGATATAAAACATGACCAAGGATTTTAGAGATCACAATTAACAGTGAAAATCAAACTGAAACCAGACTGTTTAGGTTTATCCTAGCATTTTTCATAACCTGAAAATAATCCCCAAATATAAGTTAAAATAGTCATCTGTTCCTGTCTGTTGTTTGTGCGTTTATCTAAATCCTTCCTTTTACAAACATTAACCATGAGCTTTCCACATTCTTTAGATAGCTCCACAAGAAAAGACAGGAAGCAATAAAAGAGATTTTCCTTGAAATAGGTGTACAAATGGAAATGCAGACTCACCCGTGCGAGTGTATCCGGCTCTCTGCTCTTCTCTCTGAACAGCTGGATGCTGCTTTGTGCATCTATCGGTGTGCCGTGTTTGACAGTCAGGCTGATAGATTTGGTGACGGGACAGATACGGAGCTGGTGAGAGCCGTCAGTCCATATCTGACACATCCACACTGGCCTCCATGCACTGCTACTCGAGGGACTGATCATAACACAGTCACAGGACACATGAAACTCAGCCCACACTGTACACTTGATCAATGACTGAGGTGACACATCAGTGATTAATGGATCTTTTTAAGATGTAATCTAATTATAGTATATTGTGTCAGGCTGGAAGGGGTGACTCACTCTGTTAGAGCACTGATGAGCACTGGGTCTCCATGCTTCTGAGCCAGTGTGAGGGGACTCTGCCCTTCGTCGTCGGCTATGGAAACCATCCTCTGACCTTCAGACTCCTGGAGGAGGAAGTGACTGAGGTGCGGGAACCCCAAACGTATGGCCACATGTAGAGGTGTTTCCCTGGGAAGGAGATCTGAAAGAGACCGAGAACGATAAGTGATCAGACTTGGAAATCATGTAGGTGTACAAGCATTAAAGGAGTTGTAGTATGTGTGTGCATGATACTGCAATTTGTAAGAGCGCATTTCATGCTTTTCAGTGATGCCGACCAAATTCTCTTTCATTCTACACTCAGATTTAGTCCATTGTATAGTATCATTTCTTTTTCACTACACTAGTTTGACTGCATCCCAAAACCCTGTACAGTTGAGGTTCTTAACCTTTTTGACTTGATGTCCCCCACAACTGAAATTACCCCCCCCCCCCCTCCTCCCCTCAATAAATATTGTTTTTAATTGAAGAATACACAGTATATTAAATCACAGACAAATTTCAATTATTTGTATGCATGACACTAATTTTTAGTTACTACATGCTAAACCTAGACCTAAAATAAATCCTTTTGCATTTCTAGAATAAAAAAATAAAAACATTACTTTACCTATGAATTCCTGGCATCTCTAGATACTCCCATGTGGAGGTTTTGTCAAATGTAGCCTAATTTTGGGGACAATTTTGTACCAATTATTATAAATTAGCAACCCAGTTGGCAGATTAGTGTTAAAGTTCTGAAATACTGTATTTGAATTAGCACTCAGATACACACAAGATGTTGTTTTGCTATTTGTGAGCATATCTGTGCTTGGTGCTCGGTGTAAATAAGCAGTAGTCTGATAACAGGTTTAATCCCGTCTTAGTGCTTCTTAAACTATTTGACAATATTCGAAGGTCCCCCCTCCACATTCACTATGATAGATCTGCCAGTTCTGCAGTGATTATGACAAAGCAGCTTGTTTCAAAGCATCTTTTTTATTGAACAAATATAATTGTATTAAAAATGTTAATTTAACATAAAATTATTAACCACAATTAATTGTGTGATTTCATAAATTATGTTCTGTATTGCAGAATGATATGTTCTTCAATAAAAATAATTTGAGGAAAAATAAAAATGTATATGATTTTCAGTTTGAAGTTCTTAATTTTGTTTATTTTTAGCATTTTAATTTAGATTAAAGTTAGAATATGTTAATAAATGAATAATAATTTATTAATTGAAATACTTTAATGTCATCCTGAGGTCCCCTAGTGGGCTCCGAACCCCTGGTCTAAGAAATAATAGACCATAATACCCTGGTGGACTCTCACATCGCTTGAAGTTCAAACGGACAGCTAATCTCTGTGCGGTCCACATCTGGTCATAAACATGTGGTATGGCAAGTACTTTGCACATGGTTTCTGCAATATATAAGGAAGACGACATGGCCCAAGGGCTAAACACGATACATGGAGGAGTCCAATCAGCCTGTTGGATGATTTGAAGAGTAAAATACACAAATTCACTTATTTAATGCAAACTGGCCCTGAAACTACAGCATGTGTGTGTGCGACAAATATTTAAGTGTAAGATGTGAAGATCTGAGTCAAAACCTGCTCATCAGGTTATCACAACAAACACAAACTCAGAATGATTTCCACCATGGACTCACAATAAGCAATCTTCATTTAAATGAAAATCAGGAGGTTCACGATACAAAGAATCAAGTGCATAAAGGTGTGGGATTATTTTCTTTGTTCTTGTTCAGTGGAACGGAGGACAAGTTACTGGGTGTTGACATACAAACTAAAGAGGAGACTGTAAACCGGACTGGTGTGTTTGTAAAACATAGCACACGCACACACACAGTAATTGATTCAACAGATGTCTATGATTCTTTGCTCATATTGACGGGAGTAGTTGAACCACTGTTCAAAGAGAAGTGTGATGAAGCAACATGTCCATAGCAAAAATCACACTGCTCTTGGTTTACAATTTCAGCAAGTACATCACTTATATATTTTGCAAGAAGTTGCAGAAACCGGACCAGTTATTTGTTAGAGATAAAGGACTGCTGTTGTTTGATTTGCTTTGTTGGTGAAATGTACAAAGTGAATCTTTCTAAAACTGTTTATCTCAGCAAACTTCCAACAACAATCCCAGGGGAATGCGATCCAATCAATTTAAAGGATTAGATAAACATTCATATCCAATATGAAAATGTCCAGGTTGTTTCAATACATTCAAAATGGAATAATGCTTGTGAGATATATTGCTGTTACTTTACTTTCCCTGAGAGGAGCAAGAATGTTGCTAAAGAGTGCTGTCTTTAATTGAAGCTGACACGCCATAGCAATGAAATGAACGCTAATTCAGCTGTGCAGTTTACCGCAAACAATCACTAGTGTTATGTAAGGGGCCCCATGTGCACTACAGACATTCTTTAAATCTTTATCCCTTCTCACTGTTCAAGAAATGAGTTAATGTTCCATGATGGAATGGGCATATTATCCATTCTCACTCCAACAGAGCTCCAAAACTTGATGTATTTATTTATATACAAACAGTGGTGGCCAAAATTATTAGAACAGTAAGATTTTTTAATGTTTTAAAAAAGAAGTCTCTTCTGCTCACCAAGGCTTTATTTATTTGATCCAAAATACAGCAAAAACAGTAATATTGTGAAATATTTTTACAATTTAAAATAATTGTTTTCTATTTGAATATATTTTAAAATGCAATTTATTTATGTGTTGGTAAAGCTTTCTATTTCAGATAAATGCTGTTCTTTCGAACTTTCCATTCATCAAAGAATCCTGAAAAGAAATTGTACACAACTGATTTCAACATTGATAACAATTTCTTGAGCAGCAAATCAGCATATTACAATGATTTCTGAAGGATCATGTGACACTGAAGACTGGAGTAATGGTGCTGAAAATTCTGCTTTAAAAAATTACATTTTAAAATATATTCAAATAGAAAACAGTTCTTTTAAATTGTAAAAATATTTCACAATATTTCTGTTTTTGCTGTATTTTGGATCAAATAAATGAAGCCTTGGTGAGCAGAAGAGTCTTCTTTTAAAATATTTTAAAAATCTTACCGTTCTAATAATTTTGGCCACCACTGTATATATATAAATGGGTTTTTTTGTTTGTTTGTCAATAAGAATTATTTCATCTTATTTACAGGGAGTTTTAAGTTTCTAACACAGATGAATTATCCTACTGTTATTAAAGCAAAGTACAAATTAAAGCTCAACAGAAAGTAAATACACGAAGAAAGTGAATACACAAAAAGATTAATGAAAAATGTAACACCTACTAATTTTATGTTTAATGAAATGTATATGAAATAAATCATTCCAACAAAAATGGCTTTCCTGTAACTGCTCTGAAATGTGGCCAGTAAGATTAGTCAGATTATTGTTCACTATTTAAGTTTATATCACTTTTATATTTTGTTTGTTTATCTTGGCTGTCTGTCACATGAGAAGCATGCTCCTAACACTCATCCTCCTGATAAACTCCTCTGACGCAATAGAGTTTCCTCAAACTGGAAATCCCCAATGCACAAAAAAATATATGAGTTTAATCATTAAACATGCTGATGATAAGATCATTGATATTATATTGTATTTGTATTGTATTATATTATATTACATTACATAATGCAGAGATTCGTGGTAGTGAACATTGGCTCAGGAACTTAAACACACTCATCTTGATGAGTCTAGCTTCTAAGTGAATACAAAACACTATTAGTTAGAGTTACTCAGTTGTAACTAAAGGGCTGTTGAATTTAACCCTATGTTCCACTAACGAACCATAACAAACACTGTGCAGAGCTATATATATATATATAAACCTGTTAGTTACAAATGGATAATGCAACCCATTCAAGCATTATCTTAAATGGCAATATGGCACATCTGTAAAGATCACAAGAGGCTCTAAACATTTCAGAAAGGTGATTATGTTTCCAAAACACAAATCACATGAATATAATCACAGTCTGGATTATGGTGCTTTAAGGGTGCTCTTTTGTTCTGAAAGCTAATTTGTTTGAAGACTTTGCTAAATCTATTTGTACAAACTGTAATGGTCAGAATCGAATGTAGTCAGAAATAAAACAAAGGTTAGCAGTTCTTAAAGTGATAAGAATGACACAGTGACTGACCTTGCTTCTCCTGTCCAGCTTGGCTGTCCCATGCCAGAAAGTGCAAGTTAGCCAAGGCCTGTGTGATTTTTTCATCAGCAGAACTGTGTACTGTGTGTCTGTGCTCTGGATCACACTCTGGTGTTCCTGAAGCTTTGCTCTGGCTGAAAATCTGCTGCTCACAAACATTGTGCCCTTGTTCTGTCTCTGCTAGGCTTTCCAATGGAAATAATTCCTGTAGATCACAAATCCAATTTGTCCCAAGCTGGTCAATCTGTTCTAAATGATTCATCTCAGATGAAATCCTTTTCTCTGGGCAGAATTTCCTTAGGATATCCTGATGGGTGCTGGATGTCAAGGGTTCAAAGTTTATCAGCTGCTTCGCCACCTCTTGTGCCTCATCCTGTATGTATTCCAGAGAGAGCTCTCCTGAATGGCTGATGGGACTTCCGCTGTTCCTCGTGAAGCAGTAGACCTCCACAGATACTTTCTCTGGAACATTGTGACCTTGATGGAGAAAAGGTGAGACAGGTTAGGTGAGACAACTCATACACTACACTACACGTTTATCTGGAGATGCATTATAGTAAATAGTAAAGGCTACTGGAAAAAGGAAAGTCCTTTCTGGGGACTTTTAAAGCCTTTAAAAACTAAAAGGCTAAACATTTACACATCACAGTATTGTCTTGTGTTACTGTCTTGATTCAGGTCACATCGCAAAACACAAAAAGAAGATGCTATCAACACTGGAACTATATATTATAGGGAGAAATCAGCCACTGGCTTTTTACTTTCACTGACACTTAAAACCATCAGGTAACTTAAGTTTTGTTTCCATAGAAACAAATGTATTCCATAGAAAACAAATTCTTAACACCTCGGCATATACAAACAAGCACGCCAGTGATATCCTGGTTTCCATGTCAACAGGAAATCCCCTTACAGGCTTTCACCCCAAGGACATCAACTATAACAATAACTATAAAGTTTTAATAATCATTCTAACTATGTGAAAATAGGCAAGTCCACACAGCAACGTTAACGACAGAGAGGAATGAGATCACTTTCAGAATATTTTGTCCCAGCTGATGAAGAATAAAATCAGAATCCACCAGACTTTAAAGAATGTGAGCATTAGAAATCGGCAGGTGACAAAACTGCAGCACAAGCGTAGATTAAACAGAATGTTATTGTGTGTTGGTGTTGACTAATATAGTTACCGTTATAGTTATCGCTGTTGGTGTGAATAGGTCTTTACACATTCAACGAAAAAGTTTATGTATGACACCCTGTGATTTATTTCGTGTCTCACCAGGCACAGTGAATCTAAGTAAGCCGTGATCCTCGGCCCTGTGAGCTGTAGTTACATGGTGAAGGGACGAGCCCACAACGACCACATAGTAGTCCGCTTCCTCCTGAACACACGGAGACACCTGCAGCTTCACAAAGACCTCCACCTGACCCTGAGAGAGAGAGGCACAATTACATCCACACATTATATTTTCTGTTACACACAGCATGTCATAATGGATTTGTTAAAAAATTTGTTTAAAAGGCCAAATCTCTGGAAATGGAGTGTATTTTTCATGCCAGTAAAATTCAATGAAATGTCATGTTAGCCAAAATGAAGATGAAACTAAAAGATTGAGAGAGAAGATCACTCGGTGAGCAAGAGAGAGATTCTTGTTGGGTTTTTTATTAGCTTGTTAATGTAATGTCTGCTGCTGCAGTGGTGGAGCACACTGTAGATTGATACCATATGAGGGCAATCTGCACTTCCAATATATTTGATTTTGCAGCATTAGGGGAAAAAGGAGGATATGAAATGTTCTCCATTATCTCCAGCCTTTTTCGTTTGCTCACTGAACATTAAGCTCCTCCTGAAAGTTGTTTGCATAGAAATTTGGTTATACCACAGCAAAGGACATAGCTAAATCATGATGTAAATTTAAAGCAAAAAAAAAAAAAAACATGTCTTAAAACCAGTTCCCAAGTGCTCAATCCTAAGCAAAAAAAAAAAAAAAAAAAAAAAACACACTCCTTTTTGGCCATTTTACAGAAGCGTTATGTCCTAAACCCTCAAACGTGTGTAGATAGTGAACTGTGAAAGCAAAAAAATTTAATTGAACATGTTTGTAAAACAACAACAACAAAACAACACTATACTACTGTAACCAAAATTATTCAACCCCCATTGCAAATCAGGCTTATTGACTAAATCAGTTTCAGCTGTTTGCAATTTTAAAAAAATCAAACAAAAGTAATTTAAATAGTGAAAAAAGTGGTTTTCCCATATTCAACTGAAAATGCTAATTGTAATGGGTTCTGCAGTCTCAAAACAAAATGTATAACCAGACACCAGCTTCTGGCAGAGTTTCTGAGGAATCTTAGCCCATTCATCATGAGAAATGGCCTCCAGTTCAGTAATATTCTTAGGATTGCATGCTTTTTTCAAAAACCCACCAGAGATTTTCTATGGGGTTCAAGTCAGGAGACTGATGGTCACTGTAGAATCTTCCAGGACTTCTTCTGCAACCAAGCCTTGGTGGAATTTGAGGTATGCTTGTGATTATTGTCCTGTTTGGAAAGATCCGATGACACCCAAGCTTCAGCTTCCTCACTAAGGCCCCATCCACACTACTGCGTTTTAGTTTAGAAACGGATAATTAAAACGAATACGATCTCCGTCCACACCAGCGTTAGAATTGATCTCCGTCCACATTAAAACGACTGAAAACGCGGATCACGTGACCATTCACCAACACTGGGCATGCGCGTGCCGGTGTAAACACAACTTCATTGATAAAATGATCCCACCATGCTCTGGGTTAACCCCAAACCGACGCTCCATGTACGGTCAACGCCGCCGCTGCACACGGGAATTGTCACAGATCGCTCGAATAATAGCTTGACTCCGGCGCATGTAGGCAGTTATAGTGTTGTAAAATGCAGAATTTACTTGTACAACAGCTGCTAGCAAAGATATACGCCATGACTGATGACACCCAATCATAGAGCCGAGCGTGAGCCTCTACGACATCGTTTCTAAAGTTCTCCGTTTTGACCCGTCTACACTAAAACGCCCTCCGGAGATTCAAAACGAAAAACGGATCGGCAGCGTTTCTAAACTTCTCCGTTTTGGGTCTCCGTTTTTGCCGTTTTAGTGTGGACGGGAGGTGCAAACGTAGCAAAAGGTCTCCATTTTTAAACGAAAACGCAGTAGTGTGGATGGGGCCTAAGAGCATAACATTTTCTCCTAGGATTTCCTGATAAAAATGAATCCATCTTGCCTTCCACACGCTGCAGGTTTCCAGTGCCAGTGGATGCAAAGCAGTCCGAGCATCACTGAGCCCCACCATGCTTAACTATAAACAGAGTGTTCTTTTCAGTATATGCTTCACTCCTCTTCCTCCAGACATACCGCTGATCCATAGGGCCGAAAAGAATCCTAAAACTTCTGTGGCTTATTTATATGATTTTGAGCAAATTGAATCCGACTTTTCTTGTGCTTTTGGGTCAGTCAGTGGTGTACGTCTTGGAGTTCTAGTATGCGTTTAGTACGCACCTTACTGTGCAAGCTGAAACCTCAGTGCCTGTTGCCACCAAGTCTTGCTACAGGTCTTTTGCAGTCACTCAAGGGGTTTTCTGAACCTGCCTTCTCAAAAATCTGGTTGCAGCCGTTGATAGCCTCCCTTTTCTGCCCGTCCAGGAAGTGCAACCACTATTCTATTAACTTTGAACTTGCGAATTATGCTTCAACAGTGTCTCTAGGAACATTTAGTGCCTTCACTATCTTTTTGTATCATGTTCCTTGTTTGTGAAGGGATATGATATCTTCTCTTAACTTTTTGGACCATTCTTTTTACTTTGCCACATTTCTAACGTAGTCAAACATTACACTCAACAAACCTAGCCAGTTCAGATATTTCATGTGTTGTGGCTCAAGCACACCTGGTGCAACTAATGAAGCCCTTGATTAGTTGCATCAGGTGTGCTTGAGACAACACCTGTTTTGCAAATGTGTGCTGTTGTGAGGAATTCTATTCAGGGGGTTGAATAATTTTGAGACAGCAGAAGTCATTAAAACTTTAAAAGTTAAATTTTCAGTTGAATTTGGGGAAACCACTTGAAACATTTGTTATGTTGAGCTATTTCAATTACTTTTGTTTGATTTGTTCACTGCAAACAGCTGAAAGTCTGTAGATTTTGCCTATAAACCTGATTTGCTACAACTATAAATATATTCCTGGTTCCTGGTAAGACCCTATGTTATGGGGACAAAATGTCCCAACAAAGATGGCAATATCTGAAATCCTTTTTGGTTCCCATGAGGAAAACAGCTTATAAATCATACTAAGTGATCTTCTTTGAAAATATAAAAATATGTTAATATAATGTAAAGTAATATTTAACCAGGAAAATGTGACAACATTAAGCATAATGCATAAGCATGGTGGTGGTTGAGGAGAGTTCCCCTGATATGATTGTTAAGTGCTTTGGGTGTGCAGTAGTACATATGAAAGTGCTATATAAATACCTCATTCATTCATTCATAACTGGGACAACAGATTTAAAAAAAAAAAAAAAAACTGTGACACCACTGCACACCATTGGTTTGTGCAGTATAAAAATCATTGTCTATTGAAAGTCTCAGTAAAACATGAAAACGCACGTGTGTGTGTGTGTGTGTAGTAATTATTCATTTAAAGTGTATCTGAAATCTACACAGAGGCTGAATGTTTATGTAAATTCTTCTTTTTTGTCTCCAATGCAGCTGTTGCAGATCAACAGTACCGTCAGACTGGGTCTATGAGAGACAAATGACAAACTGTCTGTGCTGGTATTGAGCCTGGTTATGAAACACATTTGCTTTTTCACTTTTGCATTTCCTAAAATTCTTTAGGAAGTGTGTACAAAGTCTAATTGGTGGAATAAACTGGTATTGGTTTTTAGAATAAAGTTCAAATATGGGAATCATGAGGCTTTGAATAAAAAGATTTTTGTTAATTTCATATTGTGGGTCATAACTGATGACAAGGTAATTATGGTGATTAATCAGAAGCCGGTCTCATTATCAAAAGCATGAGGTCATACATCTTGATTAGTACAGAGCTCGGCTCTGTTGTTTCAGTGAATATCAACTATGAATAGTTTAATTTTCCTCCTCCAATCAAAATATACAACCCCATATTTTGACTGATCTCATGGAGGAGAAATTGTATTAAAATGTATTCAAGTTAACAAATATTAAATAGGCTTAATGTTTAACAGCTCAATGGTTCATGTGTGACTAAATATGTTTGAAAATACTGTATATGAATACAACATTCATGATCTATTCGAATGTACATGACATAATGCATAATATTTGTAATTGCTATTAAATGGACACTTTATGTTCATATGCAATACTGTCTACTTACATGTATACAGAATGGTATCAACATTACAATAAACAAAGAACAAGTGTGCTAAATACATGAGAAATGAAGAGTCACAACCAGAAGCATGGAAAGTTATCCTGAAAGAAAACAGAGCAATGGTGTATATCAACACAAGCACACGAAAAATAACATCCAAAAGCACAATCATCCATCATCAATGCAGGCATTCACATGCACTTACCAACACACACAAGGCCCACAGACATTTACCCATAATTCCACGCTTCAATTTCATTGAACAGACCCTGGATCAAAGAAACACCCAGTAAAAGAGGGAGGTTAGGTCGCTGTGGGCATGTGTGTGACAAGGCACTTTTCTCTTTCTCCCTCCATTCAACATAAAGCCCCCGTTTGATTGTTTGCCCTCCTTCGCCAGACGTCTCTCTCACTTCCTGTCATTTAAGGGGCCCTGCAGAAATAGTGATGGAGGGAGAGAGGAAGGATACACAGCAGGTTTGGTGTGGGAATGAGGGAAAGTTAAGGTCTTTCCTCTTTTCTCAGGCACTGCACTTCATATGGGGATGAATGATGAGTATGGGATTCTCTCCCTCCATCTTTTCTTTCCTCACTCGGTCTCGCAACCGCACAGATTCAAAGCGTTCCTCTCTCCCCCCACACAATCCTGCTGTCTTTTTATAGCAGTAAAACTCTTAAATACTTAATCTAACAGACCCATGTTTTACTTGGAAATATTATGGCTAAAATCTTATAAATTCAAATGATTTCTATTTTAATAATTCCCATTTTTGGAAAATCCAGTAAATTAAATACTAAAAACAGAAAGGCACTTGATTATTTTATCGTTTTATTTGGAAACTAAAGAAGTCAAATAAAGAGATAAGATTATTGATAAGAAATGAATAAGTACCGGTAGTCTGGCATCAGTGCAAAAACAGCTGCTTCGCATTGCAACACTTGAGTTAAAAAATGCTAAAATAAATCACTCACACATCTCACAAATTTTGCTTCAAGAAAATGCTCGTTTTAAGGATGTTTAGATATTTTTACTGGCAAGACAA